AAAATTTGCATATTTAGCATCGTTTTGTCTACAAGGGCAGGTACAATTTCACAAAAAGTTATGTCTTGATGATAATCGGCACCCCTGAGCCTGAGAAATATTCCTGTCGGTATCCATGGACAATGATATTATTGTTCTCATAAAAAAAGAAATCTGAATTGTAGTACAATATAAACACAGTTCAATTTTTTCTAATTTTTGATTTATGCAGGTGCTAACAAAGGCTGGGGAATGAAAACATGAAAACTGGACCATAATAATGTTAATACTGATTTGTTTGTAGAAAAATGTATGAGATTTATATAATAAATATATATTTAGGTATTTGCAGTATATGTTTTTCTTCTGAACCTTTCCAGATTAGTAAGTAGATATGAGTGATCTTATAACAGCTTGTGTTATTGACGTTGCTATTTTAATATACAAAAAAGCACTTATTCGTCAAGATAGCGAAAAATGTTAATATAATAGCACATGCTGTTATAAGATCTCGCATATCGCAGTAAATTTCTATATATAAAAGTCGTCGCTTGAGAGCAGAACTATACTATGTCCATTTTTTCGTATTTTCCACTTTTAACATTAAGGTATACATTAGAGGTTGCTGAATTCAATGCAGAAACAGTTTATCTCAATAGTGGAGGGGAGACCAATAAAGTCCCAAATACAAACTAGCCTAACTTTTATTAGCAATTTGATTTCAGTGCAGAACTGTTCTATGATGCAGATAGTGTTCCAAAGTTGCGCTCGTCATTTACTCTGATGGACATAGACTAGTTCTGACCTGTCGGTTTGGAGTTAATATATAGAAATATTGAACATAGAATAGTTCTGATTTGTTTTCTTTGGACTTCGCATAGTATTTCAGTGGACATAGGTTTGTTCTGATTTGGCATTTATAAGTTAGTGTGTTGTTAGTGGAGATAGACTTGTTCGGACCTGTGAATTGCGAGTTAGAATTGTATCAAAAAGGACATAGATTAGTTCTGACTTGGAATATAGAAGTTAGTATCTAGTGCTAGTGGACATAGACTTGTTCTATTGTAGTTTCCTGATTGTCTGTAAAATGAATAACAAAAGATCTGCTAAAATCTTGGAAATGGTCTTGTGTAAAAAAGTGAATGAACATTTGGGTAAGTAAAACAAAATATAAAACCAATCAATTTCTTGTATGTATTTCAAATAATATGTTATTGGTTATTTCATCAACCGAGTGCAATGTATAAATTTGCAATTCCTAAAGAAAGGACAAAGTCATCACTTTCCAAAGGAGAGAGCGTTTTGGCTACTTTGTCGCTCTCCTAGAAATAATTTCAAAAATTTTATAGACAATGGAAGTTCGTAATATATCTTTTGATAAACTTCTTAGTCACGCGTTCCCATCTCAACCTATTATTGGAATTATTCAGTGACATCTTTCTGTCAAATTTAAACGTCTCGAATATTTACATTAAAGATTAATTTGTTACGGTTATTTTACAGAGATACTGTTCGTAGAAAAAATCTTATGTGTATTTCGAATGCAAAGCAATGAGTGAATCTCGGCTCTCGTTCAGAGCCGCATTATGCTACTTTGCGCTTTTAATACACAAATAGCTATAGCTGTTCTATAAAATGCTCTTAAATATTTTACAATTACTATTTTGCTGTCATAAAAAAAGTTTTCTTATAATATAATGCCTCTACAATTTTTATGAGATTTCAATTTATATTTTCAGGCGGAAAAGTTGATATTAATGTAAATCAATCGATCACCGATCCAAAGGAAATCAACATTAATCGCACAGATGAATCTACTCCTATGGTTGATTGTCATTTTACGATTGACTCAACCAATTTCGAACATCCAGATATGAATATGAATAAGATGTGTTTGACAAGTAAGTAGAATATTTTTGTTTGCGATATAATATTATAATTCTGATTTAAATTTTAGTTGATGCACCTGCTACAGTAAGCAGTGATACGGATTGGCAAACCAAGCATGGAAAACAAAGCAAGAAAGATGAGTTAGCTATCGAGATAGACCCACGATACGTGAACTGTCCTGATTTGGAATATCCGCCTTATTTATTACCAGCAGAAACGTCCATTAGCAAAAACGATCATGTAACGTTAGCGTCAGTCAATCAACTGAATGATTTTTTTCGGCCTAGTGTACCTGGTGTAGCTGAAGAAAAGTCAAAAAAACATGTACTTGAAGTTCCCATGACCTCAATCAGTCAATTAATTAAGCTTTCTGAACCTAGTACATCTTACACAGCCAATAAGATAGACAGACTTCCAACTTCACATCTACTTGATGATTTGGAAATAAGTTCTTCAGAATCCGATCCATTTGGTGGAGATGATGATGATAAAGACCCTGATTTCCAGTTATCAGACAATAATAAAAATAAATGCAGAAATCTTATTGGTAACAATAACTTGCCCATTAAGAATTCCAGTTCTGAAGGTTCAGATACAGAAGAAGAGCAAAAAAATAATTGAAGAAAACGCATACGAAGACCTGAAGGCTGGAGAAGAAATAAAATTAAAAAATTTAGAAATAGTGGAAGGTCTTATATAAATTGGAAAGGTAATCTTGTGAGTGAACGAAAAATGAAAAATCCTTGTAATTGTCGATTAAGATGTTCACATAAAATCGACGAAGTAAACAGAATAAAGATCTTTAGTGATTACTGGGGTTTATCAGATCTTAACCGTCAAAGAGATTATATTTCAAAATTTGTGATATGCCAGAATAAAGCGAGACATCGAAAAAGAAAAGTATCAGAGAGAGATGATTAAGACAGTGAGAATGAGGAATCTAGCAGAAGAAATTTTACATATCTCTTTTATTTTGCTCTGAATGAAAAGAAAGTTAAAGTTTGTAAGACCTTCTTCCTTAATACGCTGAGCATCAGCGCACAAACGGTCAGAACTGTTTTCAATAAACTTGGTTCTACTGGGGTAGTTACTGAAGACAAAAGAGGAAAGGTTTGTAAAAAGTCCATGCTGGACGAATCAGTGAAGCAATCCATTCGCGACCATATTCATTCTTTTGAGACGGTGAGAAGCCATTACTGCAGATTGAACACAAAACGCTTGTTTCTGCCCACAACTTTAAATATCTGTAAAATGTTTCATATGTATGGAGAGTACTGTGATGAAAATGGTATTCAACAAAAAGCTACAGAAAGCATGTACAGAACGGTGTTCAATACTGAATTTAATCTATCATTCTTTCAACCGAAAAAGGATTTGTGTGATATGTGTCACAGGTATGAAAATGGTTCTACCGAAGAAAAAAGGGAAATGGAAGACGAGTATCAGCAACATTTAAGAAATAAGAAACTGGCAAGGGACATCAAAGCAGCCAACAAAGAAAGAAAAAAGCAAAGCACAAAACTTTGCTCAGCAGTTTTTGATTTGCAGCAAGTATTATCGGTGCCAAAAAGTGACGTAAGTTTGGCGTATTATAAGCTTAAGCTATCTACACATAACTTCACCATTTTCAATTTAGCTTCGCAAAATGCCTTCTGCTATATGTGGTATGAATGCATTGGAAAAAGGGGCGCATCTGAAATTGGTAGCTGCCTTCTTCTTTTCATTGAGCACCAAGTTCAGAAAGGCGTTAATGAATTTGCGCTCTTTTCTGATAACTGCGCAGGTCAGAATAGGAATAAATATTTGTTTTCGCTCTACAATTATCTTTCTCAAAAACATAAAATAAAGATACGACACATATTTTTGGAAAAAGGACACACTCAGTCTGAAGGTGACTCGGTACATAGTGTTATCGAGAAGGCCGCTAGGAATGTCCCGATTTACACACCTGAACAATGGTACACCCTTGTCAGGAAAAGAAAACAACCTTATACTGTAATTGAGTTGGAACAAGAAGATATCAAAGACTTAAAGACTCTACAAGAAAAGTCTTCAATAAACTGGGTCTGCAACGAACAAAACGAAAAAATTGTGTGGAACAAAATAAAAATAGTTGAAACCAGCTTTGAACATCCAAATATTATTTTGTATAAATACACATATGAAAAAGATGATCCATTTCAAAAAATAAATATTTTAAAAAAGGGAAGAAAAACACTTGACGTTGTTGTCTATGATTTACACCTCAAACGGCTCTATCCCAACCTGATCAAATTAACTAAACAAAAATATGACCACTTACAATTTCTTTGTAATAAAAAGGTTATACTGAATCCTTACCATGTATTTTTCAAAAATCTACCATTTGGTGAAAATCAGACATCTAAAGATTCTGACGATGAGTAGTATCTAATATGGTGTAATAATTGATGTGTTAGGTAGTTTTTGGTGGTTTTAAGATTCTGACTCAGTTTAGTTTTTTAGTCATGTTTTTTTGGGTTGTAGGTCAGGATTAGATCGAAATATAATCTTCCTTTTGGCTTCTCAAAAATTTATTTAACTTTGTTAATGTTTCGGTCATAATGTTCTTATGAAACATTGAAACATTTCGTTTCATAGTAACCGGACCTAAAATTCAAGAAAACTACTTATTGAATAAAAATAAATAAATAATATGTCAGTTTGTATGTAACAGGATTAGGTATAAGTTTGTTTATTTGAAATAAAATTTATTTTAAAGTACCCATTACTTATTTATTTCAATCAATCAGAACTATACTATGTCACAAAACTCAAAGTCAATTGCATTCTAACTTGCACATAGAATACTATGATTTGTAGGTAAATATACTATGTCCACTATTTTTGTAAATCACTTGGATTTTGAATTTCGATAAGAACTTTTTAATATATTAGCCTGCCCCAAAGGATATAAAACATATACTTATTTTAAATTCTGAACACAATCCCAAAAATACAGAAAAAACCTTCTCCTGTAAAATTTGCATTTTGTGACTTAGTATACTTCTGCTCTCATGTGACGAAGTATAGCAATCTCAGGTGTATTTAGGAGCTGGCAACGTTGCGGGGTATTAATGCACAATCTGGCAGCCGTGTCGCACCCTCAAAAAATGGCCGCTGGCAACCACACAAGTCACCGTGTTGCCATTGAATAGCATGGAATTAAACGTTCTTCAGTGTATATGTTTTGTGTTGAATAGCATGGAATGGAATTAATACCTTCTTCAGTTTTGTGATGGTGACCTAACTTTTTCCCAAAATGTCTAGGAAATAAATATAATTTTGAGGTGAAGTGTGAAGCAGTCGATGTGCGAAGCTATGGATGAAAAACATTAAGTTGAAAATGTCCTCGGATAGTTCAGATGACGATAATATAGAGTTATTGAAAGAAGCACAAGACAGCCAATTCATAAATGACTCTATGTTTAATAAGGGTATTAAAGGTGAGCATCTACATTTTTTATAAAGATTTGAGTGGTAATATCGTAATATCTTTCAGGGAAAAAGGTAGCTGAAAAGATCGAATTACCAGGATCTCTGCGAAAGTGTAAAGATGAGGACGAACAGTTCAATCTGCTGAAAGTTACTCCACAGTTTCAACAGTATGTTTCAAAGCAATTGGATACAATTCTAGACAGTAGTTTGAAGTACAAAAAGCTAAAAGTTTCTACTGCTACTGTAGATTGTAAGAGAAGTACAAAAGAGTATAGTGGGGGTGTCAAGCTGTTTCACACCTCTGAAACTGTTTTGGATGATAGTAGTGTTGATTTTGAGGATATCAGTTCAAAATCATTCAGTATAGAGTCATCAAAAAAGGTTGAAAGGTACTGCTAAATCAAATTGATTTGCTATTCTATCAACCATTTTTCTAAAATACAGTAATGGACAAAAGTATATAGACAAATATGAATATTTACCTAAATACTTTTAGAAAATGAATTCATACTTCATTGCTCCATAAACAAATGCGTTATTGGAAAAACGAAATTCCTTATTTTTACATTATCTGCAATGAACACAATACAAGTCTGAATATAAGCACTTTTTTATGAGGGACAAAAATATGTAGACAAATTCTTTTCAACATTAGTTTAGTACAGTTTCGTGTCAGAAAAGGATTAGTTTGTGCTCATCAAGCATTGTGGAATAAGTTGAGTGATTTTAAGTCCATGCCGCATGGTCCAGAAATTTCTTTAGATGTGAAAACTAAGATCATTGAGATATAAAAAGATGGTCAACATCAAGTCGACATTGAGAAAAATTTGAAGCTGAAGCGAAAAGCAGTTTGGGCAATATTGAACAAATATAAACAAAAAGGTATCTTGGAAGCTTCTAAGAGAAGTGGTTGGCCTAGAAAACTAAATGCTAGATCAGTTAGATTAATAAAAGTAATTTCCTCCAAAGATCCGTTTAAAACCCCAAGACAAATAAAAGCCGAAATCGAGACAAAAGGAATTGTCAGTGTTTCTATGAAAACTATAAGTAGAAGATTAAATGATTTGAAGTTATTTACACGTCATCCGAGTAAGAAGCTGCAAATCTCGATCAAAAACCGTAAGGACCGATTACAATTTGCACGGTTGCATCTTGATTGGAGCATCTGGGACTAGAAGAGGGTATGGTTCAGTGATGAATCCAAGTTCAATATGTTTGGATTAGATGGTGTTCATTACATTAGACATCCTAGTGGACATAGATTGAACCCCAAGTACACTTTGCTGACTGTCAAACATCGAGGTGGGTCTGTTATGGTTTGGGATGGGACCTTTGCATAGAATAGATGGCATTATGGATAAGTTTGTATACACCAACATACTAGAGCATGTCATGTTACCCTATATCGAAGACAATATGCCCTTAAGATCAATCTTCCAGTGAGATAATGACCCGAAGCACACTTCAAATCTCGTAAAGAAATTCTTTCTGGATGAAAAAATACCAGTTCTCAAACGGCCTTCACAGTCTCCCAATATAAATCCCATTGAAAATCTATGGGAATACTTAGATAAGCAAATACGAGATCAAACTTATTCAAACAAAGATGCACTTTTTGCTACTTTAGAGCAAAAGTGGAGACAGATTGATGAATCTTATATCAAGAAACTTCTACAGTCTATGCCAAGACGATGCTAGGTGGTGATTGATAATAATGGTTATGCTACACACACAAACATGGTTGGTTTTCTATAATTCAATGAACTTTGCTTTTTTCTACAATTTTTTTGCTTTGTCTATATATTTTTGTCCTTCATAGTTCCAGTTTTGTTCAATTAATTTTTTATTGAAGGGAGTCTAATGAATTTATTTATGTATAAGTGAGTATTATGCTACAACGAATTATGTATACAGGTTGTTGTATTAATAAAACAAGTTAAAAAAGAAATACAGCACAATATTAATTTGTCTATATACTGTTGTCCATTACTGTATATGTTGGCTAAAGTTATGAGTGAGTAGATTTCCAGATTAAACAATTATTAAATATTTCAATTTTATATTTGAAGGTACAAGAAGCTGAAAGTTGATGTAGATGAAGAATCTTTTAAAGAAGTTGTAGTAACTGGAGAAGATATCTTAAGTAGGGAGTCTACAAAACACTGGTCAAAGAGAGGCAAAGCACCTATGTTCGAGTACAAAAAACAAAAAAATGGTCAAATCACTTTAATTGAACCAACTTTAAAGTAAAGTGTGAAGGGTGCTGGTAATAAAAATACAAGAGTAGCTCAGATGACTTGAAATTTTTAATGATTTCTATTCCTCACCACACAATACAAATACATACTGTTAGATGATGTGGGGGTCCAACTGCCAGCTAAAACAATATGACAATGTCTAAGAAAATGGTGGAACTATTGTTTGAGATTAAAGCGAAATCCATATAAGTACAATTTAAATTTAGTGTTAGACTTTTTGTCAGAAATGCAGCATTCGAATATTTCATTTCCTCTTTAAACACCCACAGAGCTGCACTCTTATTGATATTCTCTCCCAATGAGAAAGATAACATTGTGAAGCAATTTTTTAAAGGGGCACATAATTTAAACCCACCGCAGCCGAAATATGCAGAAACGTAGGACCCCGAACGTTGTGTTAAGACATTTAGAAACTATGTTTCCATTAGAAACATTGTCCTTAGAATTACTTAGTTATAAATTAATTACACTTTTGGCATTAACCTCTGCTCATAGAATACAGACACTCTCAAAAATTTCTATAGATAATATAAAAATTAACGAAAACATAACAGAAATCAGAGTGCCAGATAAAATTAAACCTTCTGGATACCATAAATTACAGCCCTTGCTGATTTTTCCTAGCTTCGTAAATAAACCTGCTCTGTGTGTTGGGAAAACTTTATCATTCTATATCAATAAAACATCAAGTTTAAGAGGTACCAACGAAAAAAGATTGTTTATTACATGGCGGAAGCCACATCATGCCGCCTCCCCACAGACGCTAAGCCGATGGGTAAAAGTCATTTTAGACAAAACCGGTATAGATATATCACGTTTTAAAACACATAGCACTAGACATGCTAGCACGTCTGCAGCGTCACGCGCAGTAGTAAACGTAGAAGTAATTAGGAAGGCTGCGGGTTGTACAGACAAGTCCAATGTGTTTCAAAAATTTTATAATAGACCACTTACAACCTGTCCTACCGAGTTTGCTAGGCCAATCCTTGGTAATGAGAACTAAGTGTAACTATGCGTAAAATTATTCTTATTATGCTATTAGTGTAGTGTTTAGTTGTAGTACGTATAGATTATTTGCTATTTTTTCTACATACAATTAGTATCTATAACTTGAACGATTGTTGAAAAACTCTTCTTTATATTGATACTAAATAACGTTTCTAGTTAATTAGATCGTTTATTCTTTCTTTACGAACATCTACATTGTATAATAATCATGTAAGACAACAGCGAAGAATAATTGATTGATTGATTGACTTACCTGTAAGGATGATCGATCCAAATTATTCAAGCTGTTGTTCGGAATGATTATTACAACCCACCCAAGCCATTTCATTTCCCTCGATATAATTAGCAATAAATAAATCCAATGATCATCCTTACAGGTAAGTCGATCAATCCATCAATTCTACTTACTTACCACTCTTGAACCCTCTTGTTCCAAGATGTCGTTGTCACCTTCGCAATTTTTCAGGAGCATTTGTACAAACTGTATCGAAGTGGTTAATAAAGAACTAAAAAATACCGTTTGAACTCAAACACGTTCTAGTACTTCCATGGTTCAGAAATTTTTTGTAGCAATTTATCAAAATCGCTTTGCGTTTCTACAGGAGGCCAAACCACTTTGCTTCCTGGGGTGTCACCCAAGCCTCATTGACTATGTGGCAATACTATCGTCCCTTCTAAATTGTATCACACTGTACGTTAAAGATGGAGAAGACATTGTGATGACGGTCAAACCCATAGATTTATAAAACAAAATGGCCGAACCATTCCCAAACGACGAACACGTATGGAGCTTGGACATCGGTCGAGCTCACTGCCAAGCACAATCGTGCTTCTTCGCTAAAAGAGGCAACACAAACATTACAAAAACTCATCCCCTTGTCCTCACATTCGCTTCTTACTATAACTGAATAATAGTCATAAGAGACAACCTGAATTCCTTAAACATTCTTTCTTGGAACGCAGATGGCATAAAAGAAATTTACAAAAAACACGAATTAGCAGTCACATTGATCGAGTTAAATATAGACATTGCACTCTTACAAGAGTACAAGTTTTTTGATCTCTCCAAAGCATATGATTGTGTAGAACATTCTCTCTTTTTGAGTAAACTTGAGGCATTTGGGATAAGGGGAAGTGCCTGGAACTGGGTCAAGTCTTATTTAACAGACCGCCACCAAAGTGTTTCCATCATAAACAATGGCATGACAGCTGTCTCATCAGTTAACAGTAAATAGAGGTATCCCACAAGGAAGCGTCTTGGGTCCTCCTCTTTTTGATGTTTGTAAATGATCTGAGTGATAGTATAGCAAACCCGAATAATGTATGTACTCAGTATGCAGTATGAAGAAATTTACAAAAAACACGAATTAGCAGTCACATTGATTGAGTTAAATATAGACATTGCACTCTTACAAGAGACTCACTTAAATCCAGGCGATGATTTTAAAATTCCAAATTTTGATGTGATTCGCTGTGATCGACTAATAGAGGTGGGGGTACTGCTGTATTGATAAAAAGAAATATTGACTACTACAGAAGTTCAAATCCAGAAATGGAATCCATTGAAGTGTCTTCTGTAGTGGTTAATATGAGAGATGGTTCTAAATCTCTTCTATATATGTTAGGAAAGTGACATTGATTCTCTTTTAGATTATACAGGTCCAATCTTAGCTGTTGGTGATTATAACTGAAGACACCAAACTTGGAATTCTCGTGTAAATAACGCTGGTGGGGTAAAACCTACAGCTTATCTTTGATTCGAGACTTCCTCATACATAGTACGACGAAACCTACTCCACGTTAAAGAGCATGTAAATTAGCCATTTGTTTCAAATGCTCAAACTTTGGTCATGTTGCCAAGTATTGTAAACAGCAGATATGCTGCTACAAATGTTCCGGCAGTCATGAAGCTACAAATTGTCAAATAGTAAACATTAAATGTGCGAATTGCCAAAAAATGAAGTATAATGATCATAATCATTTTGCTAGTGATCCAAACTGCCCTGTTTATAAATCAAGAATTATCAGGTTTAGGTTCAGTATCAACTATGCCCCGGATTTTCAATAATAAATGTATCAATTGATAGCGTTAGATCTGAAAGCTGCTCGAAAAGAGAAGACTACCAAACAGAAGGAAAGCCTCGCCAAAATAGCCCTACTCCATCAAAATGTTCAGTCTCTTGGAAACTCAATAAACGAGATAAACCAGATGTTGATGGACCACGACGACTGTAAATTTATTTGCATAACAGAACACTGGAAGAGCCAAGACCAAATCATCAACTATGGAATTAGAAACTTCAAACTTGCATCTTGTTTTTGCAGGAAAGAAGGGAAACATGGTGGAAGTGCAGTTTTTGTGAGCCTAGCAGTTCAGTGTTTAGAAAGGTCAGATATAAGGTCATTATCAGTGGTTGGTTCCTTTGAATGCGCGGCTGTTAAATGCTCTCTGAATGGTATGAATTTTATAATATTGTCAATATACAGAACACCATCAGGTAATATGCATGTATTTTTAGAAAAAATGGAACAAATTCTCTCAAAAATCAGTGATGACAGTGCCTCAGTTTTCATAGCTGGCGATTTCAATATAGATTTTTCACAGGATAGCCCTAACAAACAACTATCATGTTCACTCCTGAACTCATATAATATACAACAAACAATATTCCAGTTCACACGCATAACATCCGCCAGCGAATCTTGTATTGACAATATTTTCACAAATATTTCACCTTTTGTATCAAATGTCATTAATTCATCAATCTCAGACCACACTGCTCAAAAAATAACGGTAATGGTTGATATGAATAAACCTGCTAATGCTGTGAAAAAAAGGATATTAAATAATGAAAGATTTTTATGTAGACTCAAATCTGTAGACTGGCAAAATGTGTTTCATATACCTCAGAATGATGTAAATGAACAGTGGAATTATTTCAGCAATATTTTCCAATCTATTTTTGAACAGGTCTTTCCTATGAAAACATTTAAAGTTACGAATAGGTTCACTGACTCGCATCATCCTGAGAAGATAAAGAATAATATTAAGGAATGCAAGGACCGTCTTGATGTTCTATATGTGATTAGCAACAGTGACAACTCTTATAAGCCATGCTATAATAAAGAAAAGAGTACAATCAATTATTAGCGGATGCCAGATATGTCATATGAAAGACGCATAGAGGAGTCGGACAATAAGTCACAATGTGTTTGGGGTATTGTAAAGGAAATAAAAGATCAAACTAGAAATTATTGTGTGATACCAGGGGATCCTGAAATTATTTCACATGCGTTCAATGAATATTATATAAATGAAGTCGCTAAATTATTACCACAAACGCCGGCCTATAACTCTTCTGACTTTTTAGGCTATGCGGAACAGTGTATGCCGCTAGAATATGTCAGTGCACAAGAAATACTGGAGCTGGGGGATACAATTAAAAACAAAATGAGTAGTGGCAAAGATGGTATTCCCGCTAATATTCTTTGAAAGTGATTCTTGAACCCCTAGTTTACATAATAAATAATTCACTCAAGTATGGTATTTTTCCTGAAAATCTGAAATTAGCCATAATCGTCCCGGTATATAAAAAATGAGACCCTAATGACTTGGTAAACTATAGACCAATAAGCCTACTTTCTTGCTTTGCAAAGTTTTTTGAACTGGTGATGTACTCACGAATTATGTATCACATGGTCTGTAATAACTTAATTGCTGAATCACAACATGGCTTCATAAAAGGGAAATCGTTAAATACGGCTATATACTCCTTTAGCTACAGTATTGTAGAACGTCTGGAAAATAATATGATATCACTGGGTTTGTTTTTTGATCTCTCCAAAGCATATGATTGTGTAGAACATTCTCTCTTATTGAGTAAACTTGAGGCATTTGGGATAAGGGGAAGTGCCTGGAACTGGGTCAAGTCTTATTTAACAGACCGCCAACAAAGTGTTTCCATCATGAAGAATGGCATGAAAGCTGTCTCATCAGTTAACAGTAAATAGAGGTATCCCACAAGGACGCGTCTTGGGTCCTCCTCTTTTTGATGTTTGTAAATGATCTGAGTGATAGTATAGCAAACCCGAATAATGTATGTACTCAGTATGCAGATGATACTAGTGTGATTATAGCTGGCCAAGATTTCAACCAAGTAGTCGAAAATACATTGAGCATATGTGAGAAAGCATTTTGGTGGTTTGCTCGCAACGGTTCTTAGGAGTGTATATTGACCAAAGACTTTCCTGGGCTACACATGTAGAACATCTAGAAAAACGGTTAAACAGCACTTGTTATAGTATTATGATATTAAGTAAGTACCTAGATCTTAAGACCCTAAAAATTGTTTACCATGCCAACTTTGAGTCCATTGCACGTTTTGGTATAATTTTTTACGGACACAGTAGCCAAATAAACAGGTTCTTTCGGGTACAGAAACAAGCATTGAGATGCATGTTAAAAATTCCGTGTAGAGAAACATATAGAGGAAAATTTAAAGGGAATAAAATACTCACCATAGTGGCAATATATATTCAGGAAATATTGATTTTTACATTTAAAAATATTGGGTACTTTAAAAGAATCCCAGGCAATTATAATACAAGGAACTATAACTGTTGTGTACCCAATTCATCATCTAACTATTACCGAAAATAAACGTACATTACAGTTGTGCAAAGCTTTACAATAAGTTACCCCAGGGACTTAAAAAGTTGCCGAATATAAAAGAGTTCAAGAAATGTATTCACAAGTTACTAATGAATCTAGAGCCATATGGGCTCGATGAATATCTAGAAATGTGAAACAAACATTGTGTAATATTGTAATATTTAGACAATATTTTGTTTCTTGCATTTGTTTGCTATTGTGGCATTATGTGACGTATATTTCACCTGACAGCGGACATTACGTTGTAATTGTGCACTGTTATTTTGAAATAAAGATTATTTATTATTATTATTATTATTACCCTTATAATAATGAATTTCTGCCAGACATTATCGATTTTGCAATATCCTGGAACTGCACTTCTAACATTGAAACAAAAATATCACATGATCTTCAGAGTAATCACCTGCCTTTAATTCTTGAAGTAGGGACAAAAAATGATGAAAATGAGAACGCTCTAGTACAGATAATAGATTGGGAAAAATTTAAAACACATACTGTATATCCAATTTTCCTGCAAGTCCAATCATAGCATCCGTTACCGATATGGATTCGTCGCTTATTCTTTGGACAAATTCGGTACAATCTGCCATTAAAGAAGCCACTATTATGACCAATAAACAATTTAGATATTTACCATCAGACCTTGCTGATCTTATTAGCAAAAAACGCCGTGCAATCAAAAAAGCGAAAACAACTAGACACCCTGATTATATCAGAATAGCGAACAACCTAGTTCATTGTGCCAGAAATGCTATCTTTGAGAACAGAAACGATCAGTGGAATAACTTCCTGGAAGGCATATTACAGTCTGGCCTGCTGCCACTCTGGGGATTTGCTAAATCACTTAGGCACGGCATAAAAACAAAAACTTCCTGCTATAAACGGTCCAAATGGTCTTGTTTATACAAATCAAGAAAAAGCTGAAATCTTTACGGAATCCATGGCAAATCAATTTTCACTAAATGAAGATCTTGATCCAATACTATCTGTATTGAAGAATCCATTTAAAATTACTTTAGTCAGGTCCAGAGAGACAGTCAAACCCCAGTCCAAATACCTCCTTGTACTTTGGAGAGTTGATAGGATATATCAAAGACACCAAATTAAGAAAAGCTCCTAGAGACGATTATATTACAGTGAAGGCCTTAAAACTTTTACAGACTGGAGCTTTAAAATACCTTTTGAGTATTGTCAATGCAATTCTTAGATTACAATACTTTCCAGTTCAGTGGAAAGTAGCTCATATAATACTTATTCCTAAGTAAAATAATTCTATCTCTCCTCAAGACTACAGACCTATTAGCCTCTTGTCTATAGTAAGCAAAATTGTTGAAAAAGTGATATCAGAGCAGTTACAAGATTTTCTTTTGGAAAAGCAGGTACTACCTGACCAACAATTTGGGTTCCGCAGTAAGGCTGATAGAAATGATTACTAGTGGGTTCTTCAATAATCAGAACTCAGGTGTTGTACTGCTGGATATTGCCAAAGCATCAGGGTTTAATTTATAAGCTAATTGAATTTCAATGTCCATTTTGGTTAGTGAAACTGCTGAAGCCTTTGCTAGAGAGCAGGAAATTCAGAATTAAAATGGAAACATCACTTTCCTCTTTAAGAAGTATCCAAGCTGGTGTTCCACAAGGCTCTGTTTTGGCTCCGACACTATAGAGGAAAATGCCCGAATATCGTACAGGGTACAGGTGCTCAATATGGCACAGTGCGCTTTTTCTTTTACTAATACGATTAGACCGTAGAATTCCGTTGTTTTAGTTCCGGGACACCGACAAAAGATGTCACGTTAAGTCCAGTAGCTCTGAGAACAAGTAGATATCAGTAGCGCTGAAAAGGTGCATTTGGTAGAACACGAGTTTTTAACAGTGTCGGATATCTGTGGATTTTTTTGTAAGAGCGGTAGGTAAGTGAAAAATTTTAATTTCTCTGTACCTGTTGTTTATAAACTCTGTTCTTCATTTTACATCATTCAGAATATAATATAACTTATTTCAAAGATTGTTTTTCATTACTCTAACCTAAAAGCCCTGAAAACAGAATTCCACTACCATCTGTCACTGAAGCATGAAAAACTGTCTCAAATAATAAGCCCAGAACAAGGTCAGCAAAACTAATAACCAGTATAGTACATATAAGGAGGATAAGTGTGGCAGAAATTAATAAAAAAGGCTCTAAAAAAGTATGTAGTATCCTTAGAATGAGAGCTGGTCCGTCCAATAAAGAGACTTTAACAAAGAAAAATTAAATAAATATTGCAAGAGTTAAGGGTGGTTGACAAAAAAAACGAAATCTGGCAGAGAAACCTGCTTTTTCAAGCAACATAAATTCAAATAAAGGTAAAAGATGCCGAAAATAAGGATATGATAGTGAGTCGGATATAAATATGGAATTGGATGATGATTCTGACATGGATTGCAGTTTCGAAAATCGGGCCATGAGGAATGCTCAAATTCGGACAAAAACAAGAATTTTGTTTGTGATTTCTGTTTGTCCGGATAAGGGTCCTAATTCCTAATACCGTCCACCGAAAAGTTTCCCAATATCGCATATGCGATATTACGTAACCATATTAAAATGTAAGAAAATTGTAACATTTTTGCCTTTTTTATGTAATAAGAGATTTTGTTTTCTAAATATATTTTTGATTCATGATGTGTTTTATTGATAATTAGGCTACATTTTCACCTTATAATCGCAGCTTAAAATTATTTTCCTACCAAGATAAAGGAGGTTCTCAAAAAAAGTGTGCGATATTTGGGCACTTTCCTCTACATTATATACACTGAATATATTCCTCACATACCTCACACAGACATACTACTATATGCTGATGACACAGCACTAATAACTAGGTCTGACTCCAATCAAGAAATTTTAGACTGACTGCAAGAGGCTGTAGAATTGGTCTCTCCGTTGGAGAATTAGATTGAATGCTGGAAAACCCAGGCAATTTTAGTCACTAAAAGACGACAATCATTACCAGCCGAAATAACTATTTGTAACCAAAGAATTCCATGGGCATATCAAGCAAATTATTTAGGACTAACAATAGACGCATGTCTAACTTGGAAATCTCATGTAGAATCGATTAGAACAAAGGCTATAATTACATTTCGTAATTTATACCCCATGCTCAAGGGTACTAAAAAACTGAGCTCAACTAATATACTAGTATTATACAAATCGATTATACGTCCAACTATAACCTACGCATGTGCAGCTTGGTGCTTTGCTGTCAAGACGCAGATTACAAAATTGCAAGTGATACAAAACAAGATTCTACGAACAATAAATACTGCATGCTCCTTGGTATCTAACGCGACCATTCATCATGACCTGGATATTCCTTTCTTGTCTCAATTCATTAAGCAAATTGCAAGCAAAAGTTACGAACGTGCAACTTCACATTCAAGTCCTTCAATAAGAGATGCGGTGACATATGATCCTGCATCCATTCACAATCGCAAAAGACCAAGATTAGTACCTCTTTAACAATCTGAACATCTAAAACTATGATTTATTCTCTATTTTTTTACATTGACTACTTTTTTCATATAATTTTCATAACTGTACAATCTATCTTTGACATGTTTTGTTAAAGAGGATTCGCTTTTCTGCCAGTTAGAACCTCAGTAATTTTTGGGCAAAAGGCCCCCGGCCTACCCTAAAGAGCAGAAGTCCAGTCATTTTTGGCTGTGTGGTAGAGTTGGGTAGTTCCTGAACGAACTAGTTCAAAGAACCGGCTCTGATACGTGAACTAGTTCGCCAGCTTTCAGAAAAACCGCTCACCCGCTCAGTATGCGCTCCCCTCTCACCGGCTCACTGCTCGCACGCTCGCACCTCGCAGCCGCAGTCTGTCACAGCAGGGCTGTGCTCGCCGGCTCACCGCTCTCGCTCTCAGAATCAGTGGACAATGGATGGCGCGCTCTCGATCAGATGTTTGATTTAAACGGAGCGACGGTGTGCAAAGATGCACCCGAACGAACACGACTGACGGGCCGAGCAAATTTTTTGAAAATGCTTTATTGTCAGGCCTAGCGATTTCCGAATTTTCCTTTATAAACATTCAACATAAATTAATGTTTTTGTTGGCAATTGAATGAGCAGTAGACTTGCTTCTTTCTGTGAAACATGTTATTTAAATAGGTATCTAATATTTGTATCTATCTAGCCTTCCGAACAACTAAAATGAAATGTTTGAATGCTATGCTATGCGTCCGTCTTATGTCATGCATAGAGCTTTTAATTTATTGACATTATTACCCAGTTATTTCTTACATATGTTGAGCAAGCATTCAAACTAATTTTTCAGACATGACGAACAAAACTTTTAATTTAGGTTTGAGCTCTTATTTTCGGAAATACGGCGTTCAGTCACAGCATAAAAACAAATATTATTTTTACGGTATGATTCAATTATGGTTTTATCATTGGCCCACGTTTTCGTCGCAATAGCCACAATGTGCCACCTGTTTATTGAGATTTCTACTTTCCCGTCGATAAAGTAGGTTTGCTGTTATATGTTTTTCATCTCTTATCCTTTTGGCCCAAAGGTGGCGCACGCATCAGCCCGCATTCCACAAATAGTGGCGCGAAAAGCTGTAAAACCATAATCAGATTTGCAACAGTCATCGACCACGCGCCAAAACTTTTTACATGTGATTAAATCGTAAAGAATTCCAGAGCAAACGGGCAATTTAGTGATTTTAATAATTGTATCCCGATATTAGAGAACGAAGGTAAGAATAATAACCTGGCTTGAAACACATAATATATGGTGTGAGGAGTAAATAAATAAACTTAGAAAAGCCTATTAAATAAAATCCGTTTATCTTCTAATAAGCACTATTCATTAATTTTTTGTTGACGTTTTCATATTTACTTGCTGACAGTAATGGATGTTCTTTGCGTTTTTGGTTAGTGGAATTATTTATCTTTTGATTTGTTTATATGTTCTTTGTGTTTGATACTTTAGTAAAATACTTTTTGTATTTTTTATTTCAGTTTGTATTGTTATTTTTGCAGATTTTTTTTAGTTTATTTTAAAAATTAGTAAAGAGATATGCACTTTCACTGGTTTTTAATACACGTTTTTTAGATAATAGATGTATGTGTTCCATATATTTTTATCCATCAGATGCCCAGGACTGTTTGGATAAAAATTTATGGAATATATGTATTTTGGTGGAATATATATATATATATATATATTCCACTGTAGCTACATGGATCATAGATCTTCCTCGTGTCAGTGAACTACTGAACTAAAAGAGCGAACTAGTTCACTTATCTAAATCAAATTCAAGCGGATAACCAAATGGAAATGGTATTTACCATTTTGGGTTGGTATTTACCAATCCGTTCAAGCGAGTGTAGTTATCAGTTTGGTTATAAGATCCGTGACGTCACGAATCAGCTGTTATATGTCATAGTTATCACCGCAAAATTGTGGTATTTACCCAACTCAAGAGTAGTTTTATATTTCTGGTTATCATTTGAAATGTGACAAGTTAGAATTTTGCCGGGTATTGGATATTGTGATTTTACTTCACTTTCATTTTTGAGAAACTTGATACAGGCTGACCTCAGTTGTAGCATAAAGTAGAGCACCTTATTAGTTATACTCATTACTGTTGTTGGGGACACTTTAAATGTAGTTCCTATGCTTAACAAAGTATCCTGTGTAGCCATATACCACAAGAATATTAAAATATGGCCATATAAACTCACTAGATGATATCCACCTGTATACGGTTTTGCTAATATCTTTTTTCATCATTTCTGCTGAATCAATAAATGTTTTCTTTGACATGCGGAAAATTTAGAGAATTGAAAGTTATCATAGCTACAAAGCCATGGTTCCATCACTAAAAAAAAAACTGAAAAAAACATTTCTCCCATGAATATTATGAAAGGTTTCTTATTTAAACTTTCCATATACAGTTGTAGACGAAAAAGCACCGATTATTAAGTGATAATAAAAGTAATCAGAGATTATATACGCGCTTTTCTAAAATAAACAACTTGCAACAAAACCGCGGTTAAAACCAACGCGTTCAAGCGATTCGTGTAACTGACGTCACCAACCCGTGTGTCATCTTGAACCATATTATAACCGCGGCACATAACACAGAAATTTTGGTTATTCCCTTGGATTTGATTATTGTGTGGTTGAAGAAAGAAGTATGAAAGACAAGTGACACTATCAATATTGACAGTGTTGCCGGCCATTTTTTCACCGTGAAAAACGTTGCCAGATTTCTCGTGTTGCGCCCTGTCAGGCCTCAGTTGACCCCACGGGTACTGACTCTCCTAAAAATGACAGCATTTTAGATGACGTCGTGTTGTTGTCATAAAAATGGCGACAATACAGACGTAATTTTTTAGTCAATGACGTTTCCGACCAAAAGTGATCGAATCGTCATTTTGGCGACATCATGTTCACTGGGATGTAGAGTAAAGTTGGTGAATGTGGAATAGGCAGGTAGAGTGGAATATTCAGATATCTCCAAAACCAGTAGCGACACCTGCACTTCGATGGTATTATTTAGTCTTGTATCAGTAGCGTAACTATAATCAAATTCAAGCGGATAACCAAATAGAAATAGTATTTACCATTTTGGGTTGGTATTTACCGATCCGTTCAAGCGAGTGTAGTTATCAGTTTGGTTATAAGATCCGTGACGTCACGAATCAGCTGTTATATGTCATAGTTATCACCGCAAAATTGTGGTATTTACCCAACTCAAGAGTAGTTTTATATTTCTGGTTATCATTTGAAATGTGACAAGTTAGAATTTTGCCGGGTATTGGATATTGTGATTGTACTTCACTTTCATTTTTGAGAAAATTGATACAGGCTAACTTCAGTTTTACCATAAAGTGGAGCACCTTATTAGTTATACTCATTAGGGTTGTTGGGGACACTTTAAATGTAGTTCCTATGCTTAACAAAGTATCCTGTGTAGCCATATACCACAAGAATATTAAAATATGGCCATATAAACTCACTAGATGATATCCACTTGTATACGGTTTTGCTAATTTATTTTTTCATCATTTCTGCTGAATCAATAAATGTTTTCTTTGACATGCGGAAAAATTTAGGGAATTGAAAGTTATCATAGCTACGAAGCCATGGTTCCATCATTAAAAAAAATCTGAAAAAAAACGTTTCTCCCATGAATATTATGAAAGGTTTCTTATTTAAACTTTCCATACACAGTTGTAGACGAAAAAGCACCGATTATTCAGAGATAATAAAAATAATCCGAGATTATATACGCGCTTTTCTAAAATAAACAACTTGCAACAAAACCCCGGTTAAAACCAACGCGTTCAAGCGATTCGTGTAACTGACGTCATCAACCCGTGTGTCATCTTGAACCATATTATAACCGCGGCACATAACACAGAAATTTTGGTTATTCGCTTGGATTTGATTTATCTGATACAAGCTGTTTTATCGATTAAGGCGCATAACCTCAAAAAAGTGTGGAATATTTTAAAATATCAACTTTCGAGTGTTCCACATTACCGGGTCTACTGATTAAGGATATTGAATTTGTTTATGTTTTGGACTATATGTGACTTTTTATTTCAGAAAATGCCTTCCAAAGGAATAAAAGGACACAATTGTTCAGAAAATAATATGTTACTCTACTCTTCAGTAGCATTCCACATTATCATACTAATTTTCCATGGCTACATATTACACGCTTCGCAAACTTTCATTTTTGCAAATGCATGGACTCAAAATATGCGACCTAAATTACTCCAGCGATTTGACAGAACCTCACAGATATTGGAACTACTTGATTTATTTGAATGCCTCAAATTAGTATGGAATTATAGGCTACAAATGAAAAGTATTCCACATTCCCCAACATTACTCTACCTAATACATAGCTTCCCTTGGAATTTATCTAACAGTACAACTTCGATAAAAAGTAGTATGAATTGCTTCACATCTTCTCGAATATAGCTTCATATGACCTTCGCGTGCAGTTATAACACAGAAACATCTCAGAGGGTGAAGGTGCATAACTTGGCCAGCAAGATTTCATACCAGGCCGAGTACCTATAGGGATCGTACATGTACCGTAGTACCCAATGCGCCCTGTAAGATTCCTATGACCCTAATATTTATAAATACATCTGGAACGGTTTAGATTGATTAATTTTCATAAAATATTTCTACGCATTTTCAGAAGAGTACGTAGATATTCATAAATAACTGGTAAAGCTAAAACTACCACATTCAAATATTTTTGAGTGTTTAGCTGAACCACTTGTTGGCATACTGCTAGTGAAAATCCGGTACTGGAAAGAATCAAAAAAGAAAAGAAAATGGTGGTGATTTGCATAACTGGCAATGGAATCGACTAATCAACAAAGCAGGCAGTTGATCACGTAGCCCTAAACCACGCCCCATATTCATCTTGACAAACTGTCATTAGTCTTAAATCGCTTCCACACGATGTGGCGAATGGCCATGTGTCCAACATTGTAAGGCATTCGCCACATCGTGTGGGAGAGCGCTGACGGATTGCATGTGTCCAACGTTCGCCACATGGCACGTTCGAGCTCTCGTCGGCAAATTCGTCGAAAGACGTTATAACGTTGGAAGCATGGTTCGTTACGCTCTCACACGAGATGTCATGTGTTTGATGGTTTTAGGTTAGAACCAGTAGCGGCGACAAACATTATTCATTTGTTTGCTGTGATTGTAGTGAAGTAGTGGTATGTGGGAAGTATTTTGATTTTAATACCTACCTATTCATAATAATGTATGTTCGGTAACTAACTTTTGAGGAGAATGGATTAAATTAGTATACATAAAAAATATAGGGTGCCATAATAACACTTTTTTCATATTGCTGACATTTTGTTTCGCAGGTGAGTTATGGCCTAAGGATATGTAGTTTAGTAAATTACAAATTATTATGTGCTTACAGTTGTTTCATTGTGATGTCCTCTTGCGATGCAACACCAGTTCAGAAATATATTGACTTCCATTTCATAACTAACGAAAAAGATTAAATAAGAGATAACTCTGAAAGTACTATCACATTTTTGATGAAATTTTGACCCTAGGTTACTACTATGAAAATGACGAAAAAGCTCTGCAGCTTTTGGAAATCGGTACAGTGGCGGTGGAGCTATCGTCGAAAAACAAACAAAAAACGATCAGGCTTCGTTTTTCGACATTTTTGAGGCCTTTGTCAGACTTACGTTTTGGTCGCTGAGGACAGATCTGAAATTATTTTTCGGTGCTCAAAAAAATTGTTTCATCGTTTATTTTGTATAATTTCTCCTTCAGTTGTAGAGGTTCAAGCGCGACACTGACACCGATAATAGACGTTGGCACCACCATGCGTCGAACGTCCGAGACTAAAAAGTTCATCCCATCATGTGGGAGACACTTGCCAATTAGGAAGTTTCCTATAGTTGAAAATACTGCCTGTGTTACTTGCATCTGATAATATAACTAGTACCTTTGACAAATCTGAAAGAATTATTCCAATAACTTTGAATTTAAGGAAGTTATGGCATTTTCTGTGTTGGCTGCTGTAGCCGATCGGCCTCGCGCGTCGAGGTTCGGTAGTGACGTCACATGACGGAACGTCGTACGTTGTATCGTAGTATATAATAATTAAAATGGAAAAAGGTTTTTTACGTGCCGATTCCACAAATCTTTTGAAGGTGGACATAACATGGTAATGAATTTCTTCACAAACAATCCACTTTATGTCAGTACGGAAATGCGTAAGTGAGTAAATAGTATGATTTATTCTATACAACTCTGATAACGTGAACCCATTTACTTCAACCCTTTGCCTGCGGCTATATAGTCCAGTTAAATAGCCGAAACTGAGACAAAAGTGATAACATAGCCACAAAGTTATTTCCGCTGGCGTAATGGTGTAATAAAGGATTGCGAATATTGTTGCATGAATTTGGTTTTCCGGAAACCAGCCGTTTTTTGTAAAACTGCGAAAAACCCAAAAAACCTCTTTTTCGCTGAAATGGCTGAGGATATCTGGGATGTTTTCACACGTAAATTTTTCTAATTTTTGGGCCATCAAAAAAGATTTCTGCAAATTTTTTGCTAAATTGCTTAGTTTTCGCGCTACAGCTTGCTGATGGCTTGTTGGCGGGGGACAGGGACGCGCGTACACATATCACCAGCTGCCGCACCATTGAAGCGGAACGATCCTCTTTTATTTCGACGTCCTCAGTGTCTCTCTCTCAGTGATAGGCCAGTCGATTTCGAATAATAAGCTCGTTTGTGGTTGTGGCGTTCACCGACTTATGCATATTAATGAATTTTAAAGTACTAGATGCAGTAATTTTTCTTCAGCCGCTTATCGATTGACTGGATAAGTGAGGTATAATATTTTCATTTAGAATTGGAACAACGATAAAAAACCTACAGCTGCAAAAAAGGTGTGAACGTGTATATAAATGAGTGGCAATGATAAGAATACATTATAGGATGTAGAAGCCCAATGAGTCATCAAAAGACTCGTTTTCGAGGCTCCACGTTATTTTCATAATTATCCTCGTTTGATAACCGGTAGTTGTTAATCTGCGATCATGATAAGAGATTTAGCAGTTCTTGAGCCGCGTCTATACGTTGGTCTGACCTACGACAACGCAAATATGTAAAGAATAGACAATGACCGATGGTGATGAGTATTTGACGATATCTTCTCTGCACACTCGCTGTGGAAAAACGTTATTCCATTATATTTTAATCGAGATAAGAAATTATGTACAAACCATTAATTGGAAGTTGCATCAATTTTTTATATTTTCTATTTTGATACTGTATAACAAATTATTTTTGTGTTCAAATATGTTTGTATTACATTTTTTTGTTACTTTACATTTCACACATATAGTTGTACAAAACCCCTCACTTGAGCCAATGAAACCTACAATAGCATGTAAGAGGAATTGAAAGTATATACAGTTCAATTTTATATCCACCCCAATCTATTACAAGTAGGATAAATCATTGAAGGTCAAAGTCATTAAAGTCCTTCGTTAATTTCCTCGTCATCGGTCGTTGCATCTTGGCTCATCATCTTCTGTTAAGTCATCATTATCGGGTTCTATGGTAGTTTGTCCACCGTCCTCCTCACATGCATCTGTAGTCATCGGAGTTTCGCTATCATGGTGTTCTGTAGCAGTCCATCTCTTTGAGTTGTTGCACGATTTTCCGCGGCATACTTTGCAAGCAGAGTTGCACTTTAGACCGGCTTTTCGGCAGTTATATCGCTTCGATTTGCAGGGCCACTGGCATCCACAGGAAACCTGAAAATAGAGAAGATATAAGAATTATTATAATCTAAATATCAGATGTCTTGTAAGGGAAATCAATGACAGGCCTTTTATAGTGCTCCATAGATCAGTATAAAAATTTGTTATTTTGACTTCAAACTGGATCTCACATTGTTCAAAAATTATTTTAATTCCGGTCAGACAGTGCATGAGATCAAAATTGTAGTAAAAATTAGTTGTAGCAAGTTATATTTATTGCTTCAAATTGAATACATTTTACACATACCTCTTGTAACAGTTCTTTTGGTGCGGGATCTGCTTCAGACATGATCGGAATGAGAATATTACCCTGTCTTGTCCATCCCCACAAGCAGGGATCTAATCTATGCTGAAGCCACATCTGGATTTGATAGTACACTCGTTTACAGTGCTGAAGCAAGGCAGGAGATGTTGGTGGGAGACATTCTAGGGGCGTTTCCTTTTTTGCCTTTGCTAAGTTTGTAGAAAATAAATTGTATCTGAAAGTCCCGAGAGAAGAAGACTGTTCTTTGTCTTTGTGTAGTGCGAGAGTAATCGTCTCTGCACATTACAGCAATTCGTCTTCCGGCTCGTAAAACTTCAGCGCCAGCGCTCTAATGCTGTCGTTCTGCAGCAGCAACTTCGTCAGCTTCATCTTCCCTTTCCCAAAAAAGCAGCTAGTAGTGTCGTAGCCCGCAAAGGCATGAGCAAAAAGTAGAAATGGTTGCAAATGTTTGTGATCCCGAGTATCGTACAATTGGTTCGCCTTGCCCCCTTGGCCCATCTTGTAATAGTACATGCTCTCTGAGGTTGGAGTGAGCCCAATAAGTAATATTAAGAGATCAACATCCGAGCCGACGGCTATAACTCTTGATTTCCCGTGACGAAATAATTCGTTATAATTCGTTATGAGTCTTCAGAGCTGTTCTCACTATCTCAACATCCGCATCCTCTTTCGCATGGATCACGGTAAAACTGAATCCCTCATATGTTGCAAGAGTTTGACCAAGGTGATAAACAAATTGAGCCTTGTTTTTCACGTTGGACAAAAATTTCCTTTGGTTCAATGGGAGGAGATTGTCTGGTTCAATTTCAACGTCCACGCCACAATTTCTTTCTTGTCTACGGTCTCGCTCGTATGATTTGACACCTATATTATGTTCATCTTGATATCCGTCGAAAACAATAATGACGCTCCGACCAAACCGCTTAACAAGAAAGTTCTTGTACATATGAAATATTGCACGGTATATCTTACTATGAGGCCAAACGAGGCTGTGAAGCAACCATCCTCCGTCTACAACAAACTGAGAATCTTCAAAAAATGCTCGCGAGGATGGGGTAGTAGTGAACATTTTATATAACTGTGACTTGTCGGTCTTTCGCATTGATCTTTTCTCGTCGAACAAACTAAGTGGAACAGGAGACATTTCGTAGTCGAAGCAAGATTTACTCAACTCTTTCCTTCCACGCGTAGCCACAGACAGACGTTGAAATAATAGAGAGGTATCAACAGTGACAGTGGAAGACATAGTTTTCGTGATTGTGTCCGTGCAAAGTCCAAATTCTTGATCTTGTACAATTTTGAAAGCGACACCTTTTCATAAGTGCGTCCAGCTATATGACCCATTGCTTGTGTGCCACGCTCGAAAGCCATATGACAATTTATTTCCACACCACCAACAACTCCAGTTGACAGCGAAATTAATTCCTCGCGGACTTTGAATGGTTCATGTCCCTTCAACCAAGTAACGAATGAAGCAATGTCCTTTGCATCCCATGCCTTTCGTCCTTTACCCAAATCAACATGCTGCTCACTGTTTCTCGTCTCCAGGTTACAATACTCTTCCAATGCTTGCATCACATGCACGGCGCAAGGCATCCCCAGCAAATATCGAGACACGACACTCCGCGTAACACCTCTTCCGTGTTTCAAGTCAGTGCCAAAAAAACCTATTCAGTGTCTGCTCGATTGTCATGTCACTCCAGATTTCGGACCAAGCCTTATCCGACCTGTGGATAGTGAAATAACCATGCGTGGCAAACTGGTGAAACTCTTGAGGATCCATGATGTCCTGTAGAAGTACCATATCCTGCAAATAAATCTGAGCTGCTTTTGCGTATTGAAAATGTCCCGCGGCATGAAACAATGGCAACATTCTTCGAACGCAATCAAGATGAAGGTCCCAGTTTCCAAGACGTTCTGCTTCAATAAAACGCAAGACAATAAGCACGGCTTCAATGTACTGCACCCACAACTTGGCTGTTGGGCCATTATTTTTCAATTGCTTCAACTTTGTATAAAACAAATCAGACATTTTCTTCAGGTCCTTATCAGAGTCACTGTCCCCTAGCTTGAGACGGTTTTTCTGCCAAACACGCATCAATGATGCGATAACCCCTTTGATCTAGCCTTTTTCTTCGATTGAATCACAAATTACGATGCCTAAAGCTGTAAACGTCAAAATGTGTGCTCGGACGGCTCTTGAATAATTGTGCCCGTCCATCATTTTCTTTATGGATTCACTAGCGTAAGCAAGCTCCCACATAGATTCAAGTCCGCTTCCTCCCATGATAATACCTATTGCTCCCAAAAAAAGACATTAACATGTGGAATCCGCCTAAGCGAACAAAAACGTCGGGCAACATTAACTTCGCTATAATATCGCGACATTTCATGTACAACGGCAAGTCGTAAGTTAAGATAGTAGTTATTTGACCACATTTACGCGTTTCGCTCTTTGCATGCATAATTGATATATAAATGGTTGTTAGACTAGATGAAACTTCGTTAATGCATTGTTGGCATTGCACCCCCGACCTTTGTAAGCTTTCATTTTCCAAACATATCTCCATGAACCCTCGCCATGCTGGTACATTCACAGGATCAACGTATTTAGCCCACAAATAAGTTGAGTAAGTAGGGGGGAATAGAGGCATGTCGACCATGGTCAGTAAATTTGTATCGATGAATTCTATAAGTTTTAAGCCCTACCATATAGTAAGTGATCGTCTGCGTCGTCAACGCGTGGGCGGTGTGGCGGCACCTTGCTGGTATGCAGGTACGCCGCCTCTGTCCCCGCAAACCCCTCGCCAACAAGCCACCAGCAAGCTGTAGCGCGAAAACAAAGCAATTTAGCATATAATTTGTAGAGACCTTTTTTGATGGCCCAAAAATTAGAAAAATTTACGTGTAAAAAAAATCCCAGATATCCTCAGCCGTTTCAGCGAAAAAGAGGTTTTTCGGGTTTTTCGCTGTTTTACAAAAAACCGCTGGTTTCCGGAAAACCAAATTCATACAACAATATTCGCAATCCTTTATTACACCATTACGCCAGCGGAAATAACTTTGTGGCTATGTTATCACTTTTGTCTCAGTTTCGGCTATTTTAGGTACTGGACTAATACCATACTGTGGACTTATAAAAGTGTGTTGAGTCATCAACCTTACGTAGGACGCGTGGCGGAGTATTATGGATGATCTTATTTGGCTTTATTGATATTATAAATAGAAGAAAATGAAAACATGCTTTGCATGTATCAAATAATTTAGGATGACCCAAACTCCAGCGAATACGCTTGATAAATTAATAATAAATTCAATATCGCGCAGTGACCAGAAAATCAACTGTTTGAACTGAAATTTAATCCAACACCAATAGGACTTGATGGCCATCCGGTGTTTGTTTCAGATTTATTTAGCATTAATGCTACAATATCCATAATACTCGTATCCACATAAGTATATCACAAAATATTTTATGTCTTCAAGACCTACATACATTATACAAAATTTCACTACTATGAATTCTGGTTTTCCATGAGATATTTTTTCAATTTCCCTTTGAACATTTTCAAACTGATACAAATCTTGATATCATTACTTCACTGCATTTTAATAATTCTTTCGTAACACTTCACGATGTCCATTTGTTAACCAGGAGTAGAATCAATGATTTGTCATTCATTTTTGAGTATTGTTATTAGGCTGTTGTCCTTGTAGATCTGGAGAGACACCTATGGAGACGAGGCGATTGGTTATGCGCAGTTAAAAAGAGAACGGGATATCTGTATTGTAAAAGCCAGGATTACCTCCGAACGAGTTAAAAGCCAACAGTATCATTGCAGTTTTGAATGCGATGAAAAGGAAGAAACAGTAATCAAGCTAGAATGCAGTGGTTGTGCTGCACAAGACGGTGGCTGTAAGCATGATGTAGCGCTATTAATGTGGCTGCACAGAAGAAGCGAAGAACCACCATGCACTTTCGTGAAGTGCTACTGGACAAATGCTAGATTATCTACTATTGGCAGTAATCTAAAATTCATAGAAGCCTCCCAGATGATTAAACATTAAGCCCACACTTGACCGACGCCTATGCATCGCCGAGTCGGCGCAAACAACGTTTGAACAATATTCCCCTACACCCTACACCTACAGCCACAAGATGATCACTATACAAATACTCACATTCTCTCGAAATGAAAGCAATAATCAAATCTTCTTCTGTTCTCCTTTAAACCATTTAGATTCTTTACCTTATCATGCGATTCATACAGACTAATTCTAATAATAATTAGCTAAATAGCTGCTTACATCAAAATGGGATTCACAGCAAAACAACGTTGATTTTTCCGACAACGGCATTTTATCGTCCCTATTCATTAGCTTGCACCACTTCTTTCTAATACTTCCCTGTTTTGGCACACAGAAAAATTTGTATCTGGAGCTGATATGCTGGTATTTATACACCTAGGTACAAAAAATATTTGTAGGTTGAAGGTTTGACCCGCTTTTTACTCATTGTTAATTATAGGAGGAAGCGTGTGGCGCGGCAAGGCGGGCGCATCTCCTTGTAGTGATGCTGGGCTGATAAGCTTCCGTCATGTGACGTCATCACTCACTCGCCCGACCCACCACACGATTCTCCAAACAATAAACTTCTGACTAGCGTAAATTTATTTTTCAAGGTATTAAAAAAACAGCGCTATACTTCATTTTACTTAGACTATCATTTTGAGTGACTTTTGAAAAATAGGAAACTTCCTCTTTGTAGGGTATCGAACGTTGTAAACAAGGTTGTATACAACGTTGTAAACAACGTTGGAAGCATCGTGTGGGACCCGCATTAATAGTATCTATCTAATATGTCACACTTGTGTGTCAAGCAAGCGTCAAACTAGGTAATGTTTGGATTTGAAGGAAAATATCTGAAAATATCCTATTTTTTTGCCAAATTCTCTAGGAAATTAATACTAATCTCAGGTGAAGTGCGAAGCCATGGATAAAAAACATCAAGTTATTAGTTGAAAATGTCATCGGATAGTTCAGATGACGAGAATATCGAGTTATTTTAAGAAGCACAAGACAGCTAATTCATAAATGACTATGTTTAGAGTATAAAAGGTGAAAATCTATATTTTTGATAAAGATTTGAGTGGTAATATCGTATAATCTTTTAGAGAAAAAGGTAGCTGAAAAGATTGAATTACTAGCCTCTTTGCGAAAGTGTAAAGACGAGGATGACATCCCTGTCTCTACTGTTCTGCAAGAAGTGAGTTGAATTAAAGATGTCTCATATGCCATCTTTTCGTCTGAATGTTCCTAATTTGGGGCCCGACCTGCCTCCAGCACCCTCTACAAAGAAAAGGCGGAAAAATGCTCAACCTCCTATCCAGCCACCTCCTAATGTTCAGGTAAGTTTTCAATATCCACTGAATCAACAAGATGGAGCAGATTTTATTGCAGAATGTTTCAAATTATTTAAAAAATATTAATTTAAATTGGGAGGCTTAATACTAATTATTTACTCATAAATATTATTAATGGGGTTGCCAACATTATTTTTAAAAGCATGAGGAATTCAAGAGACCAAGGTAAATACCTACTTGTAGAGTGTTACTTAATATACAAATTTTCAAAGTGCTCCCATACCAAGTTATAAGATGTAACAGTTAAATAAGTTATAACTTTGAAATAAAAAAAAAATACATTTTGAGGAGTATCTGTTAGATATTAATTAAAAAAATATCTTTCAAACTTTTGAATAAGGTATTCAAATTTACATGAATTACTCTTGAGAAATTTTTGTGAGGTTACTCCTTTTGAAAAAAAATTGATTTGTGTATTTGAGGTGAATGTGTTCTAATACCTTGCTGAGTGGTGTTGTGGCAAATGCTTGTACTGAAGATGTTGTATAATGGATACAACTTCCTATTCAAGTGATTGTACACACATTAAGGAATAACTTGCAAAAAGAAGGTGGTGGACAAAGACCAGTCGACTGAGGCAGTACCACCTGCTAGCTTTTTCCAGTGTGTATTATGAATCTCTGCATGCTTCCACACCTAAGCTATGCAGTTGGTTATCTTCCCCAACAAAAAAGTTAATGGTGATGGATCGCTCCAGTACTAAGAATTCCAGAAGAAAACTCAAAACATCTGCGGGATTAACAGCAACATTGATGCTGTATATCACTAGCTGCAATCACATCATTCCATCCATGCTTTTTTTGGTGCAGACAAAAATCTCAGATTCTGCATCAATTAACCATCTTAGCTTCCCAAATTATGAAGTACACTCCAATCTGAGAAAGAATGGGGGACTTGTGCCTTTCATCCGCAGCAGTCTTTGCTGTCCCAGAGATGTTTCTTTGGAATCAGACTGGAAGGACATTCTATGGCTTCGCCTCAACTCCAATACATCCCCCAAATTCATTTGCTGCCTTTATCGCTCTTCCTCAGACTATTATATATTATTATTATAACTAGGATGGCCCACTCAAATACCTCGCTGTCAAGATCGACTTCTTGAACATTAATCACCCCGCTTCATAGGTAGTTCTCCTCTGTGATTTTAATGCCCATAATGAGCTCTGGTTGGGCTCAAACAAAATCGATGCAGCAGGTCAAGCAGTTGAAGCATTTGCTGTTACCCATGGACTGACCCAGCTGGTGACGAGCCTTACTTTTTTCCCCCTCGCTTCGTCACACGCCAGTGGCCTGCTGGATCTCTTACTGTCTTGTCTCTCCTGGTTATCTCAGACCACGTTGTGTGGTTAGGTTTCGGTCAGAATCTGCTGTGGCAGCAGAAACTCGACCAGGCCGCAAAATTTGGCGTTACGGTCATGCTGACTTCAGAGACTTCTCCAACTTTCCTTGGGTAGATGTTAGTTTCGCGGACGCGGATGCTTCGGCTGCATCCCTCATACAGTGAAAGTGCCAAAACCAGGGTCCAACGGCTGGTTCAATAAATCGTGCAACACTGCTCGTCAGCAGAAGATCAAGGCACACAGAACCTTTTTACAAAATCCCACTGTGGTGAACAGACAAGCTGATGTCGAGTCCAGAAGCAAATATAACAAAGCGGTCTGCAATGCCAAAAACCAGCACAATATAAACAGACACAGGGTAATATCGCATCCCGATGGCAGTCGTTTTTCTAGCTGCTGGCCAAGCAGATAAAAAGTAACTTCTCACAGAGTAGCCTTCCACCACTTACGTGTCAGGATGAAATGATTGTAACTGACTCAAAGGCTAAGGCGGAAGTGCTTGCAAAGATCTTTGCTGCCAACTCCACCATGGACCCAACGCCCAAGTGCCGTCGATTCAAAGGGTTCCCTACACTATGCGGGAAGTCAAATTCAGGCATAAGACCGTAAGACGAGTACTCTTGTCGCTCGACATCAACAAAGCTTCTGGTCCGGACTTGATTCCTGCCGTTGTATTTAAGAGTTGTGCAGCGGAGCTGGCTCCAGTTCTTTCGCGCCTCTTCCAGATATCTTACGAATCCGGTACCTTCCCAGAAAACTGGAAATTTGCTCATGTCCAACTCATCCCAAAAAAGTGATTCAAGACCTTACAACTACAGGTCTATAGCTCCGCTTTCTGTTATTAGTAAGATGATCAGAGGTACGTAAATCGCGAATTTCTGGACTACCTTGAACGTTACGGCTTGATTAGCGACAGGCAGTATGGTTCGCGGCACCAGCGATCCACAGAGGACCTCCTAACTTACGTCCCGGAATTGTGGAGTAACCTCATCCAGCATTATGGTGAGGCTCGTGTCGATATCACGAAAGCGTTCGATCAGCTGTGGCATGCTGCCGTCTCTGGCCGCAAGATATCCATCGAAATTGACGCCTTCTCCTCTTCATCCCACAACGGCAACGCGGGTGCTCCCCAGTGATCCCTGTTCCTCTTACATATTAATGACCTCCTTTCCTTCACGATCAATCCCATCCACAGCTTTGCTGATGGCAGCACTCTACAATTCTACATTTATGGTTTGTTCGTACAGTAGTGGGTAACTTGTCGGTGACTGTCAAAATCAGAATCAGAGAGATGTTACCTGTTCGTACAGTTTCTTACTGTTTGCCGACAGCTAGTCCGCTGTTCGTACAGAACCTTCTGCCAGATCAGAGGACACCAGTCAAACCAGTGACAGTGACAGGTATCAGAGTGTATCGAAACTATCTTGAGGACTAAAATTGCTTCACAAGAGGCATTTAATGAACTCTTCTCTAATGGACGGTCTAGGGACACCTTCGCACCGAAGGGCCGTTGGCGATCTAGCTACGCCAACGGGTTTTGCTCCTCAGAGCTCTCTTCCATGGTGTCGCCGCGTGATGTGCCTGCCTGACTTCGGCCTCCCATCGTAACCGTGACCGCTCCTTTGTCCCGAGGGTATCGAGATCGTGTAACAATCTACATGAGGAGCTTTTCAAAGTTCTAATAACTTTAGGCAGCTCAAAAATAGGAATGACAAAGTTTCTTTAAGCTTCTCAAAGCAGCCGCGGTGCCCTGGCTGCTTCGGTGTAAAAAAACTGCGCGATATACCAAGAAGATGAAGATCTACTGAGGAGAGAATGAAACCCAAAAACCTTCATTTTGTAGAGAAAACAATGCCAAAATTCAACAGAAACAAATTTTTGTAATACTTTCTGGTGAGCAAGTAGCAGAAGAAATTTTAATGAAATTCCATTTTAAATATCAGCCACCGTCAAAGTGCTTTGTGCTCAAAAATTTTTTTATTGATCCGGTAATGGCAAAATGAAGATTATGAATGCAGTATGAAAAATCCGAACAATAGAGGACATGACTTTCAAGAACCACAATTACTACGATTTTTGTAATCACTAATCTTTTGAAAATTTTTGTTATGCGAAGTTACGCGATTTAAGGCTTACTTTTATGTATTTTCGTAGTCTCAGTTCTGTTTGTCCATGTTGCGAACTCTGTGAAACTTATAGCTATGTAAGCAGATCTTGATAATTGTAGTTATGTTCAGCTGTTTTAGCTTTTTAGTGTATAACACCCTTTATTATTCAAAGACGTTATAAAATCCATGTAGTATTTTCAATTCTTTATTCTAGTGAGAGTCTGCAGGGTGTTTCTAATTTGGCACTCAAACGGTGCCACGTTTTCTCCTCTACAAGAAGGCATAATTAATCAGAATTTCTATATGACAGTTCGTCTCTTGTCCTCCAGCATCAACTTTATTATTATATATAACATTTGTAGGCAGATGAATAGAGTTTTTAATTTGGATTCAAAAAATGCATAATACGTCGTACATTGTCGTTGCCAAACCTTAGTTACTTCAAAATAAAATTTCTTTGTTAGGCCTTGAAATTCTCAGTTGTTTGTTTCGCTCACCAAATTTATCCCAAAATCGCTCTATTTTTCCTGACTTTATTTGACATGGGATTTCAAAATAAATTGCATATTGTCATTGTTACTTATTCTCGTCTACAAGACGGCGTAGTAAAATTTTCAATTCGATATTTCTTCTTTCGACTTCCATCATCAATTTTGTTTTTTCATACAGACACTACATTGGAATTTTGTACATTTATATGGACTTTTTAGCTCTAAGTTCAGTGATGTATTTCGTTAGTTGACCATAAATTTGTTGTTGGATGAAAACTATAAGGAAATGAAAAGATATGGTGAAACCTGAATACGAAATGAAAATTTTGTTGATGGTAATAACAACAATAATCATAAATAAGCAGAGGTTTTCACAGTCTTCCAAACTCTGTTGCTATGCAAACAAATGAAATCTGATAATGTCAAGGCCTACCTAGGAACTTCTGGAATAACTAAGGATTTGCAATGTCAATGTATTTCATATACATTTTTGAAATCAGAATAAAAATTATATTCATGTGTGTAAAAAATTAAGTTGATGCTATAGGACAAGAGAAACGTTATATTGAGATTCTAATTGTGCCGTCTTGTAGAGTAGAACATGTGGCAGAGTTATGTGCAATTTATATTGAAATCCCACCATAAATAAAGTTAGGAGAAAATTATAACCATTTTGGGAAATTTCGTTTTTTACTTTTCTTTCCGGAAGTACTTTTGATTTCAAAACTTTCTAAGCGACATTTTGCTGACTATCTCAATACGCAACTTTGCCCCTATTTAAGAGACTTCGTATCCTTAAAGTTTCCGAGATCCCAATGGTGAGGGTCGAATTTAAAATACCTTGTATAGGGAAAATATTATTTTCACCCCAGCAGAAACAGTCGGCCACTTCCTCTCCATGGGCACCCGTGAAAAAAGCTAAATCAGAAAATCTCAAGAATTCGTTATTTTGTTTTTTTTCCATCAGCTTTGGGTTGGACTTACATAGCTAGAATATATAAATATTGTTTGTGCATACACTTCGAGGCTGGGCGAGAAGGGAACAAAAACCCTACTATCTGAGTTTTATTAGAAGTCATTCACAATACTTACATACATTTCTCATGCATAATCACTGCAGACATTTATTCAGAATTCTTACTATGTATTTACTTCTTCAACTTGTCATTCGATGTGTGTGTTTATACTTCTTATATGAGAGTTGAATGGGTATTACTGAGTAAATCTACTTGATATTTTTGGGTGCTGTTATTTTTTCTAGAAAGTGTCCATGTTTTCATCTCTAGAGGAAAATTTGGGCACAATCGGGCAGATGGACGAAAAATCCTAGATCATTCTGGTTTACTACAAATGAACATGCCCCAACTTTTCCAAAATTGTCTACTTCATTCTGAAAAATTTTACATTCAAATAATGATTGTACTTGATTTCTAGCTCTGACAGTTTACTGGCAAATTATCTGCTGACTAATTTGACAGTCATCAAACAGTCAGAAGTTTCTGTACGAACAGCGGATTACTTGTCGGTAATCGGTCTTACCTTTCTCAACCAACTCGTAACGTTCTCATGTACGCAATCAATACAGTTAGCGACGTGTCAGTGACAGCTAACTGCGTAAACTAGGTCATGACTTGTCGCTGACTATCAGTTCGGTGATTGTCAGCAAACAGACTGTACGAACAAACCAATAGAAATTCAGAGAGACAAGGCGATCTCTGCCGGTGACTTTTATCTCTCACGAACACATGTCGTCAATACCAGCAGCTGCTAAGAAAAAGCTAGGCTATTTGTTTAGGGCTAAGAAGTACTTTTCTCCACATGATCCAGATAAGACCGATCCTCGACTATTGCATACAGGTTTGGGGTGCTGCCGCCCCGACTTCATCATCCATGCTCGATGCTGTCCAGATTAGGGCTGTCGGACTGATTGATGACTCTTTTCTAACAGACAGTCTCGGAACCCTTTCGCAAACTGCCAAACAGACCAGCCTGACTTGGCCTCCCATCCTCACCGTGTCGAACCTCGTACATCCAGAACTGACCGATACGACCGCTCCTTTGCACCTAGGGTGTCGAGATTATGGAACAATCTACAAAAGGAGGCTTTTCCCAGTTCTACTAACCTTAGGCAGTTAAAAAATCGGATTAACAAAGTTTCTTTGGGACCCTCATAGCAGCCGCGGTGTCCTGGCATTTAGGCTTCTGCCTACGCGGCTGCTTCGGTGTAAAAAAGGTAAAATCTGTATAACAGACTGAAGATTGTTGTACTTTGGAAATATGCTGATGTTAGTCAAATTTGATGTTAAACATGTTGTATAAAGTTAGCATGTTAAGAAAAATCTTACTAGAGGGTTTTTTGCACAATTTTATTGTTTTTGTCCTTATTCAGTATTTACTTAGAAATTTACAATAACCTGTGTCTTGGTAATGAGGTATGTTGGGACATGATTATAGGATTTTTTTTTCGGATGTACTATTCTAGTAATATTTCCACTTTTTTTTTTTAAAATTTTTGCTGTATATGCTTTAAGTGATTCATACCATAAGTGAAATATTATTATTTTTTTTTATTAAGGATTTGCTGCCACCTCCATTGTCTGGTTATGGAGACACAATAGTTGCATCAAATCCATTTGATGATTGTCCCAGCAATGTGAACACGGGTGGACCCATGAGGAGCCCTGTAGGGCCACCAATGGGAATGGGAGGTAAGTGAAAACACTTTATTTCTTAAAAAAAAAATAATAAGAGAAGAATTACCAAAAATTACAGCTACGTTTTCGTGCTTAACCCAATTGATTTTTCTATGAACAACTTTGTGTTCTGTATGTGATGTGAGATTGTTTAATTTGCAGGTCCCGGTATGATGGGCATGTATTGTCAGCCGCAGCCGCATCATCGTGTCGGTCCGGGGGGCGGAGGAGGGCCAGTCCCTGGGGGCATGTGCGGCGGCCCTGGTTCGGTACAAATGGGCATGGGCAGTCCGATGATGCATAGCCCTGGCGGGCAGATGATGATGGGCGGCGGCGGGGGCGTGCCTACTAGAATGGGCGGTGGCGGTGGAGGGCCGCCGCCGCCCCCACACATGGGCGGCCCGCCGCACATGATGCCGCAGCACAGTCCCGGTGGCCCGCCGCCCAATCAGCAACACAACGGCCCGCCTCAGGGACAGCCAGGTATGCCGCCAAACATGAACATGACAGGTTAGTGGGAAAATATAGTTAGTATAGAGGAAAATCACAATTCATTATTATTATTCATAATCGGCATCATTATTCTAGATTTTTGTTTGTGATTTAGGTCCCCCGATGCACAGTCCTTTAGGAGCAATGGGCGGCCCAGGAGGAGGTGGTATAGGCGGTCCGCCAATGGGCAGCCCTATGGGCCATGGTCACCATAACGGACCGCCGATGAATGGCGGCGGCATGGGCGGTGGACCGCCGCCTCCCCCTCATATGAACGGCCCGCCCCAGATGGGCGGCCCGGGAGGTCCGCAACAGCATCCGCCCAGCAGCATGGGCGGGCCTGGACCGGGACAACAGGGACCGCCTCCGCATACGCAGTCGGGCATGCAGGCCATGAACCAACAAGGAGCAACAAATGGTCCGCATTGTGGTGAGTTAGCTGCACATAATTCCATAATATATTCAGGGTGATTCACAAGTCGTGACCAAAAATGAAACATCATACACAGGACCGCATTTTATTTTTTTAAGATCTTCAAAACCGTCAACTGGAAGAAACTAAAATTTGGTATGTGGATTTACCTAAGTATTGTCCACATTCAAAAGTATTTACTTGAAATTAACGTGCATCAGTGGCGGAGATACAGGAGATTAGTGGCATTATTTTTCAAATAAAAATCGTACGCACTGTTTTTTTTTTCGAAACGCGCAATTTTTCTAATTCTACCTTCAATTTGCTACAAATAATTACTCTTGGGTTTTTTCCTAGAGTGCATTGTTTTCGTAAAAATAAAAACAAATTAGATAATCAAAGCTTCATTTCAATAGATGTTCAAAAAGGCCACCATTCTCACGGATACAACAGCGGCATCTTTTTAATAAAGAAAAACGCATTTACGCTAAAATTGTTGTGGCTTGAATTTGATGAAAAGCATTAATTTGTTCAGCTAAATTCCATTTCACAACACTCAAAAATGGAAAAAACAAACATTCGACGTGACTTTTACAAAAAAAAAAAAAAAATGGTAGTTGTAACGATAACAACCGAATAACACAACTGTGACAAACCATCTCCCAAGAAACGTCAAGTTGGTATCAAGGCCTCCTATTTTATATATTTTGAAACTAATTGCATCTCGGCTCTTCATGAATGATCTAATTTGTTTTATTTTATTTGGAAAAATAATGCTACTAATTCCCTGTATCTCCTTCACTGGTGCACGTTAATTTTAAGTAAAGACTTTTCCAAGGGGCCATTACTTGGGTAAATCCACATACCAAATTTTAGTTCATTCCAGTTGATGGTTTTGAAGATATTAAAGAAAATGTTTTTTATTTTTAAACATCCTTGAAGCCGTCGAGGAAAAAAATGTTACATAGAAGACTCCCCTTAAAATGCATGTCCTGTGTATGATGTTTTATTTTTGGTCACGATATATACATACATACAATATAAATATATATATATATATATGTATGTGCAGAAATATATATTATATATAAAGAGAAAATGATCATGCGGAGAAAGGTATATAACAAAAAGTAGAAAAATAAGGAGGAAAGTGGATGCGAGCAGAAAATAGGGTAGGTAACCCGAGCGATACGTATTTCTGCTGGTTGGCTTCATCAGGCCCGAAATGAATACACATATGAAACTACAAAAGTAGATACACAGGCCCTCACTTCACGTGCAAAATGGGCTGGACATCCGTCATTTTGTAGCCACATTGTTTGTATTGAATCCGCTGGTTCTTCTGCTAAAAGTCTTGGCAATGTGTCTCTCAATAGTTCTAAATAATTTGCCGAATTTCATGTTGCAGGTAATTCCACTGGACCCACAATTGTGAGGTTAAAAATCCCAGTCCATAAATTGATTTTGAACGGGTACTGAGAACGGCCCTCTCTTATTAAATGAGGGTTTGATATTTGCCAGCTATGTAGATTGTGGAGATTTGTGCAGCCATCTTGCTTACAGGTGGATTGGTTACTCCACAAAACTCGATTAAAAAAGTTGGGGTCTTCTCGGCTTAGCTCGATCATTTTTCGGCAAAATTGTACACGCGGTGCATAATCTCTATTTAAAAGGGACTGCACTTTTTGCACGTGATACGGATGGTATCTTAACGTTTGCAGTATTCGGTGTGCCGGTGATCTTGGAATGCCAGTTCTTCGTTCAATAGCGCGCAGCGACGTCGACGGATCCGTTGTTACGTGCTCTACAACAACATCGTCGTTATGTCTCCGAGGTCTTCCTTCACTACGAGGACCACCAGGAAATCGACCCTGTGAGTAAGCGTTGTGTACTCTTAAAAATACTCCATAAGCTGGGTGCTGACGGTTCGGATACCGCTCAGCGTAAATCCTGGCAGCTTCCCTGGCAGAATAACTTGCTCCACCTCTAGTGTTAACACGCCTTGTTTCTCCATAAACAAGATGCATGTCAGCATACTCGCTTGCCGTGTAACAATGTTCATCTGATCGTCGATTAGCCATAATGTGCAGAAAATCAATTTCCACAGTAGCGCCAAGTCCCTGCCCCCTTCTTAAATTCTGGGAATAAGTGCGACAACACAAATAATTTTAGCCGACCTTGAGTGAGCTAGCATGTGTTTTGTTCAGTCTACCGGACATTGAAACAACTTTTTGATGCCGATTCTAAGGTTTCACGCAATGGTTTGAACGTACAGGCAATTATGATTTGAAAATTGTAATTTTGATCCTGTATACAGGGTGGCCCATCCATGTGTGGACGGAGTATTACTCATAAACAAATACATTTTGGGAAAATCTATTTATCTATCTATCTATCTATTACATGACATTTTATGGCACATTTCTAAAATATTGACCATTATACAGGGTGTCCCAATTTCGACCTACATATCAAAGAAGAAAATTGATATAACATACTATGGGGTTTTGGTAATTAGCTACCGAGATATTAGGTGCTTTGCCTAGTTTTGTATCAAAAAAAACTTACATACCTCCACATCTTATTTATTACTTTTTCGAATTTCCATTTTTGCTCAAAAACGCGAATTGTACTTTTTCTCAAAAATTTGAAATGCATCACCCCGTATATTTGTGCAGGTTTGGATTGAATTTTTTATATGCTTTTTTTTAATGTTTGATTCAGATAAAATCACTAGATTTTGAGTTATAAAGCGTTTAATAGAACAACACACCAAAATTAAGGAAATAAATCACATCATCCATGGAAACAAAAGGCAAACAGTGGGCTAGTACCATATTGCCACTAAGAGTACAGATTTGACGTAAAAACTAATAACAATCAGAACAGTATAAATCAGCTTCAAGCGTAATAGAGAAAAACAACTATAACAACAACATAAACAAACAACTATCACTATTGAAGACCTAATCTACAAAAACTGCTGGAAAATATCTCCACCATGTTGAATACACAGCCGTAGTCTTTGGATAAATGACCATTGCACATCCCTCAGCATCTGTTCCCTTATGTTCAGAAAATCATCCGTAATCCTTTTCTTCATATTTTCCGGGGTGGATGGTGGATATCTATAAACCTCTTGCTTAACGTAGCCCCATAGAAAGAAGTCCATCGGTGTCATATCTGGTGATCTAGGAGGTCAAGATATAGGCCCATCACTACCGATCCAACGATTGTTACCCCAGGTGTCCAAATAGTTACGCACAGGCCCGATAACTTGTCTGACAATAACTCCTCCCCAAACATTCAAGCTCCATTTATTTTGGAAATCTATTTGCCTAACCCAGTAAGGGTTTTCCGTCGCATAATAGTGCATGTTATGCCTGTTGACAACAACTATGCTGTTAAGAGTTGCCTCATTGCTAAAAAGAACCTTATCCTGGAAAGTAGTGTCTTCACTAACTTTATTTAGCATTATTCTACTAACCTTCATTCGAGCTGCGAAATCCTGAGGACGAAGGCCTTGATGCAAGCATAGGTGATATGGATGGTACCTATGCTTGTGAATAATCGTTTGGACAGAAGTTCTGCATATATCAGTTTCTGCTCCAATTTGCCGTGCACTTAAATGGGGATTTTCCTGCAACTTTAATAGAACCTCCAACTGATTGGCCTCACTAGTGCCATTTGGATTATTTATACATTTTTTACTATATTCCACTACTCCACTTGATTCAAAACGTTCTCGTAGTGTGGAAAATGTTTCCGGCCTTGGATGTCGCATATTAGGGTACCGTTGCTTATAAATGCGAGATGCTATGAAACTATTTCTTTGGGCTTCGCTACAATTTGCATTTTTAACCACCTTGTATGAGCAAACATAAAAATTTGAAAAAGTAACAAATAAGATAAAAGCTAAGGTGTGTAAGTTTTTTTTGATACAAAATTCAGCACTCCAAATTTCAAAATGGCGGACTGAGGGGTTGCCGAAGTGGGGGGTTTTCTAGACAAAACACCTTTTATCTGAGTAGCTAATTAACAAAACCCCATAGTATGTCATATCAATTATCTTCTTTTGAATTGGTTTATCCAAATATGCAATAAAATTTGAGGCATATTCCATTTGAAAAATCACAACTATGATATTTAGGTCGAAATTGGGACACCTTGTATAATGGCCAATATTTTAGAAATGTTCCCTCAAACGACATCCCATAAATACAGTACAAGCACCAACCCGGACTCCAGACCTGGTTTTGCTCTCCTGCCCTATATCAAGGAACTGACCCCTAAGCTGATCAGATTGTGCAGTCCTTTGAACTTTCGAATTGCTTGCAAATCCGTCCTCACTATAAACTGCATTTTTTCAAAAATGAAAGACAAAGTCCCGCTGCTTAGCTTAACCAACATAGTCTACTCCATCAATTGCAACAACTGCAACCAAATATACATAGCTCAGACCTCCAGATCTCTTAAAGGAAGGATTACATCACACAAAAGTGATGCTAGGCTTCATCCTGAAAGATGCGCTCTAGCATCTCATGTTAACACAACAGGGCATTCTATGAATTACACAAGTATCAAAGTTCTTGATAAAGAAAAACACCTTTCCAAACGTTTATTCCTGGAAATGTCCCACATCTTCATGAATAACAACTGTATCAACAAAAAGACAGATGTTAAACAACTGAGTGTCATTTACTCATATTTGCTAAACTGCGAAAAATTGGAGAACTTACATATCTCCCCAAATTTCGACTCTTCACAACCATAATTAGAATCTGTGTTTTGGCCGATTCCACCAATAAATTTCATTCCACTCAAAATATAATAATTCTCTTGTCACGATTTATTAATAATTGTTAATTTAAATTCCCATTAATTAAAATATAGTTTATTCAACTGCCTCTGGTCGGTTTAACAAATTCTTACATAAAATTCTGAAAATCACATCATCTGAAGTGATTTGGCAACGTTTGGCACACGCCCACAATTCGTTCCATCTTCCAACACAGACATTGACATCCTTCAGCCTTCTGTCAAAGGGTGTCATCTCACTCATTATTCCATGACCACTAATTTGTGTAATCATCAAGTGGCTTCACGATGTAATGCTCTAATGTTTTTTAAATAATTTTTAATCTGTTTTTAACTTGTTCTTGTCATATTTTATATAATTTTGACCATTGTACAATCTATCCAGCTCTCACCATGTTACTGGACGTTTCCCTCATCCTATACGTAAACAACAATTAGCAACACCCTCACATACTACTGTAAGTTGAGTCAATTTAAATTCATTCTACACTTTTGTTGCTACTGTTGTCATTGTAATTGCAGCTCCTGATGATGATGGCAAAGTCCATTGAAAGCTAGAGAGAATTAAAAAAAAGTATAAAGAGTCCTCTTTGCTTAAATTTTGTCGAAGTACCCAACAAAAGGCGGAAGCTTTAATTTTTCACCTATATATATTATACAGGGTGACTTCGAAGTTGAGTCATTTATTTTAACAGTGAGTAGATCTGATCAAAAGATATGTTTTTTTCCTTTACCATTTTTCTGGTAAAATTAAAGTAACAAAGTTATAGCCCTTTGGAAGTTTGAGTACCGCCCTGTCTCAATAATAATATCATGTACTCGTGTTTGGCAACAACGGATATAATCCACCTTATCGGTTCATCGCATGGGAAACAAAAAAGCGAAAGAATTTGGAACGATGTTTTTATTTCATTCAGTTCAGTTATACATACAGTCAGTGTCAGTCGCGTGTGAATAGTGTCTGTTGCGTGGCTCAAACGAAATAAAAAATGGCACATGTTTATGCGGATCGGTTTCCCAATCGAGTGCAACCAACCCCTCGTGCCTTTGTTAATGTAGTACAACGGGCTCGTGAATCAGGTGACTTAAGACCTCACAGGGCACCTCACGATCAAATACAGGTCCGCACTGAAATACTTGTTGGGAGGATACTTTATAAAACAAGGTACAATTTTTTTTTTATTTTTTTTTTTATTTTTACACACATATTTTGGTTTATCTTCCTTCTACAATCATTATCTGAAAATTAATGACTCAACTTCAAAGTCACCCTGAGATATGTGAGAAGTAGTCATTGCCAAAGCCAACGACTAGTTGGGTACAAAATACAATGACTTGTTAATTGGGAAATTGGCAAAACTTTTAGGTTTAAGTTGACTCTTTTGACGATAAAATCAAGCTTTCGACATTCTCTATGGAGCCATCATCAGGATTCTGAAAACACAATTGTTATGCTAGCAAAGAAAACAGGACAGGTTTAAAATGTCAGACAACGTACTCGTCGGTGAGGTTGTAGCCTCAAGGTGTTTCAGTATAAAAACAAAAGGACGGGGACATTGGGCTTGTTAAAAAACGACAGATACCTTCGTTAAAAGTTAAGAAAAAATAAAAATTATATCAATATATATTTTTAACTTCTTCGGGTGTATTGATATAATTTTTATTTTTTCTTAACTTTTAATGAAGGTATCTGCCGTTTTTTAACAAGCCCAATGTCCCCGTCCTTTTGTTTTTATACTGAACACAAGTTCGATCTTCTCTACGTTCTTTCTGAATCACCTTGTGGCTGCAACCTCACCGACGAGTAAATTATCTGACATTTTAAATCTGTCCTGTTTTCTTTGCTAGCATAACAATTGTGTTTTCAGAATCCTGATGATGGCTCCATAGAGAATGCCGAAAGCTTGATTTTATCGTCAAAAGAGTCAACTTAAGCCTAAAAGTTTTGCCAATTTCCCAATTAACAAGTAATTGTATTTTGTACCCAACTATATATTATATATATATTACAAATTAATCACTCAGAAAACATGTACATGCAATTGATACATATCACGGATAAGGTGGTTAACAAGTAATTGTATTTGGTACCCAACTATATTATATATATATATATATATATATATATATATATATAGGTGAAAAATTAAAGCTTCCGCCTTTTGTTGAGTACTCCGACAAAATTTAAGCATAGAGGTCTCTTTATACTTTTTTAATTCTCTCTAGCTTTCAATGGACTTTGCCATCATCATCAGGAGCTGCAATTACAATGATTATATATATATATTACAAATTAATCACTCAGAAAACATGTACATGCAATTGATACATATCAGGGATAAAGTGGTTAACAAGTAATTGTATTTTGTACCCAACTATATTATATATATATATATACAGGGTGACTTCGAAGTTGAGTCATTTATTTTAACAGTGAGTAGATATGATCAAAAGAAATGTTTTTTTCCTTTACCATTTTTCTGGTAAAATTAAAGTAACAAAGTTATAGCCCTTTGGAAGTTTGAGTACCACCCTGTCTCAATAATATCATGTACTCGTGTTTGGCAACAACGGATATAATCCACCTTATCGGTTCATCGCATCGGAAACAAAAAAGCGAAAGAATTTGGAACGATGTTTATTTTATTCAGTTCAGTTATACTCGTACATACAGTCGCGTGTGAATAGTGTCTGTTGCGTGGCTCAAACGAAATAAAAAATGGCACATGTTTATGCGGATCGGTTTCCCAATCGAGTGCAACCAACCCCTCGTGCCTTTGTTAATGTAGTACAACGGGCTCGTGAATCAGGTGACTTCAGACCTCACAGGGGACCTCACGATCAAATACAGGTCCGCACTGAAATACTTGTCGGGAGGATACTTTATAAAACAAGGTAAAAATTTTTTTTTATATTTTTTTTATTTTTATACACATATTTTGGTTTATCTTCCTTCTACAATCATTATCTGAAAATTAATGACTCAACTTCAAAGTCACCCTGTATATATATATATATATATATACAGGGTGACTTCGAAGTTGAGTCATTTATTTTAACAGTGAGTAGATCTGATCAAAAGAAATGTTTTTTTCCTTTACCATTTTTCTGGTAAAATTAAAGTAACAAAGTTATAGCCCTTTGGAAGTTTGAGTACCGCCCTGTCTCAATAACATCATGTGCTCGTGTTTGGCAACAACGGATATAATCCACCTTATCGGTTCATCGCATCGGAAACAAAAAAGCGAAAGAATTTGAAACGTTTATCACTATGTTTTTCGTCAGTCGATAACGCGTTAGTGAATAGTAGTGTTTGTTGCGTGGCTCAAACGAAATCAAAAATGGCACATGTTTACGAAAATGCTGAACTTGTGGACATGATTCTTATTTACGGGGGGGCAGTCTTTACAAAATGCTCCCGGATACATCACGGATTTATGCGAATCGGTTTCCCAATCGAGTGCAACCAACCCCTCGTGCCTTTGTTAATGTAGTACAAAGGGCTCGTGAATCACGTGACTTAAGACCTCACAGGTCAGGGCATGCTGCTCCAAGACCGCACGATCAAATACAGGTCCGCACTGAAATACTTGTCGGGACGATACTTTATTAAACAAGGTAACATTTTTTTTATTTATTTTTTTATTTTTACACACATATTTTGGTTTATCTTCCTTCTACAATCATTATCTGAAAATTAATGACTCAACTTCAAAGTCACCCTGTATATTACAAATTAATCACTCAGAAAACATGTACATGCAATTGATACATATCAGGGATAAGGTGGTTTACCTATTTTAAAGTTGTTCAAAGTACCTACTTGACATAGTTCCAAGAGCTTTGATTACACGGATTATTCAGATACTCAACTCAACAACTACTATATGCACTTAAATTTTTAGAGTTCTTCAAATTACTTCAAAATATTTCGGGTCGCTGTCACTGTCTTATAAATATAATAACTGGGAATATGTGGAGTACTTCAAATACTGAGTATCCCCGAATTCATCAGATATTTGGAGTGCTTCTACAAGGTTCAGCTAAATCCGGCCTATGAATTGCTTGCATGTCTAGCTAGTGCTAGTCAAACTACACTGTTTGTACTTGATGCTGTTTGCAGGAAGGTTTGAAAATGATGATCATGTCACTTCCGTCACTGACATACATACAACGAAAATAATGTACTTGGTATCCCCTAAATCCTGAATGTCACAGTGACAGAAATCCTACCAAACGCATAGGACTTCAGTTGGCGTTGATAGAACCTGATTTTTGACAGAGTGTCGCATCTGTATAATCTGTGAATATGATTCCTAGTTCCACCGTTAACATCGTCTTCTGACGATTGCCCCGAACGAAACAAACGAAATTGAAACGACTATTGTTTACAGGATTTTGATCGGTGACGCTTGCCCCATCTGTTATCCGCGGGTATATTCATGAACAAATGAATACATGGTGTTCTTAATTATGCTAACTTGAAATATATGTATTCTTTATAAGAATTAGTCCTTAAAACATGCAGTTTCCAAGCTTTCATTCACTTTTATTCTGTAAATCAACATACAATGTATAATAAGCATGTAAGTAAATACATGACATTTAAAAAGTGGAGTTAAGTGGATTGATAGGTACCTACATATTCTGTTACGTCCCACGTTATGCGGTCATCAGACTATGTCCGCCTTATTAAAAATTTTGAATCCAATTCAATTTTATAGTTTGCAACATTTCCAAAAGCATAAAATAGATTATGTACATCTGTACACAAATGTATTTTCTAAAATGTAGTGTGTACAAGTGTATTATGTATATAAAATATAACCTCGGCTGATCTATATATACCCTTCATGGCAGACTACTTTATGTGCTATGGACAATCACAATAATGTAAATTTTAGATAGATCTGTCATTTTTGCTATGAAAACAACATTGGTGAATGCTTGTCCTTAATTATCATGTCTAGACACTTTGCAAGTTATAATTATTATGTCTTTTTGCGTGTTTTAGATCGAATGTACGGAGGCGGAGGCATGGGTCGTATATGCGGCGGGGGACCGATGTCAAACAACAACTTTCTAATAAACACGAGTGGCGGGGGCGGTGGTTCGGGCGGAGGTCCAGGCGGCGGCGGTGCCCCCCCCGTCCACAATCACAACCATCCTGCTGCAGCAGCGGCCGCCGCTGCGGCCGCAGCAGCTGCAGCAGCCGCAGCTGCCATGTACAGCAAACCGATGCCCGTTAGCGCGGGGAAAATCTACCCGGCAGACCAACCGATGGTGTTTAATGCGCAGAACCCGAATGCGCCACCAATTTACCCATGCGGCGTTTGCCACAAAGAAGTCCACGATAACGATCAGGCCATTCTGTGTGAGAGCGGCTGCAACTTCTGGTTTCACAGGTGAGATACATATATATTACACACGATCAATGTTAGATTCAGTCATCTTCCTGTATCAGGATATATCTTAATAGTAGCATTGTATTGTCGAATTATAATACAAGAAGGCTAAGAACAGAAATAAATGGTATATACAGGGTATCTCACAAAGATCTGCCAATATTTCTAGGGTAGAAAGCACATCAAACATAACACAAGAAGTTCGTATAAATGAAGGCCAAAGATGCTCCCATACTGAGATACAGGGTGATGAAGTTTTATTTACGAAATTTAAAAAATAGATATCTACGGAGCGGGTAAAGATACTGAGATAGGATTTTAGACGTTCAGTGACGTCACATTATCAGCAATAAACACAGAGATTCCTGGCCCAAACAGTGACGTAGAAAGTGGGATACCTGGACCCCTAATATGAAATAATACGCACTGGTCTTTTCAGAGAAAAGAAGTGCATTTTATAAAATGCCATTCAATTTTCCATAAATTTTGTTTTTTAAGGAATTTTTGTCTGATCAAGCTTGATATCGGAGACACTATATGGCATGCGAAGAAAGCTATTGCACCTCATTACAACATTATTTGAATAGTATGCTTCTTATCCTCAATCAGTAGCATAGAAGCTTTCCATTCATTAAACCTTGTCTATGCACGCCACCGGTTTCCATATTATACTTCTCCTGGTATTGCCCATATTAAATTCTTCTGATTGTCTAAAATCACAACTAGTATAAGATAATAGATACGATAAGACAGTGACAATGATGATAAACATGAGAAAACGGCAATCCCACCTTACAAGCTTTCGAAGTACTACCCTGTACGTTTTCACTTTTATTACGAGGGTAGTAGATACACATACGTAACAAGGGCTTCAATGTCAGGATAATATCAAAGCCACTTATTTGGTGACGCACCGACAGGGGAGTTGTCCTTCATTGGCGCGAGATAGGGTCGATAGAACTGGATGGTCGGGGCCAGGACTATTTTTGGGAAAAACCTTTTGAGTACCTGCCATATTCTACCGACTTATGACATGCAAAACTCTACTGTCTATTCATTATGTTAATTAGCTGTCTTTATACTGATCATAGAATAATATAATAAACCCCATGATATTTCTCAATTGTATTATTAGAAATTATAATACATTGCATGAGGGAAAGATAGCATCCTACGGCATATCCATAACCCGGTTAAACGGTAGCTTCCTACCGCATGTAAGTCACGCCTGATATGGAAATATCTTGCACGGGGGAACGGTAGCTTCCTGCTGCATGGAAGTCACACCCGTGTCCATACTCGGGGAACGATAGATTCCTACCGCATGGAAGTCACGTCCGATATGGATACCTTAATAATCTGGTGCTTAGACAAATATGCCAAGTTTTTGATTGTTTCGAAAAGCACAGGATATCACGTTGCCGTGTCAATACCCAAAAACTCCAACGTTACCTCTGACTCAGAGATAACCGAGCAGCAACTTTATAGTAACGATCCCCATACACATCTTGTCATCAGATACTTTCAGACTCCAGTGATTGCATCGAGAGGAAGTTACGTTTAACTATATCTTAACTGGTGATAAATGTATATCATCTGACTGTTTTTGACTGATGACAATCATTATCGTGTTTATAAGGGTACCATGGTGTAATGTTCTAGGGAAGATGGCAGAACAAAAGGCGTTCGGCGCTTCGATACGTTTATTCGTCATACCAACTTATTTCAACCCGGACAGTACTGAGCGAGAAAATCGATCGCTACAACATTTTATACCAAATGCATCAGCGCGCAGCGCCGTTACATTGTTGCCAATATTTGCAATAAATACTACCTTTCTCCCCCTTTTATCAAAGTCAAAGGTGGCACTGCATTTTAAACACTTAAACATTCGAACCACTGTTGAAATTATGAAAAAAAATGAACTACTGAAAAATATTCGAGTATTTCAAAATGCAAATAATACGAGTAACAGTTGAACTATTCTACAAACTATACAATAACCCTCTATATATTACATTTTTAATCACAATTCACATTTATTTTGCTTCTCCTTAATAATAGTTCATTGGTATATTCAGACACAACAGGAGAATCTATATTTTTTGTCCTTTCAGCATTAATTTCCAATTCATTATACTGTTGGTCAGTGAATTGAATGTTTTCATAATTTTTTATGGGAGTTGTCCTTTTATCGTTAATGTTTTCATTCACAGAAGTGTCTATCGAAAAATTGGTTAATATGTCTACGCTAATAAGTCTTTTTTCTAAGCTAGGTATATACACAAAACTTTTAGGCCCAACTTTATTCTTAATAACCTTCTTTATCCAAATAGGTTTATGTTAAATCCTATAATCTTTTACAGCTATACATTCATTAATATTATATGTCCTATTTCTCCTCCCTCCATAATATTTTTTTTCTGTTCCCTAACAATCCTATTTTGTACATCACTATCTAATATGCTATAATGCTATTATTTACATTAGGAATTTTTATTTACAAAATCTAATACAGGTCTGGGAATTCTGTTCAGCATTAACTGTGCTGGAGAAACAACTGTAGTAGAATGAGAAGTTATTCTATAAAATAACAAAAAAATATTCAATACAGCATTAACATTTTTTATATTTTCTTGGTCTAACACCTTTAAAACAGCTCTTTTTATCGTTTTAACAGTATTTTTAGCCTGTTCATTGGATTCAGGGTGAAATGGTGGTATTTCTTTAAAACTGAAAATCAGACTGTCGGCGCCATCTGTTGGGCGAGTCTCCTACTCGCTAGAGCATAATGGCCGATCTCTACTTTTACGCGAATCACGACCGCACCAGTCACCTGGCGGCGTCTGTGAGGACCGTGACAGTGGATCGCCTTCTAGATCGACGCGAAGTGATCCCCAACATTTTAGATATCGCTTCGTTGTCTTTCTCGCAGCGGTAATTGAACTATATATAACTCGTCGGCCGTGCGGCAGAAAGAACTGAATACGGTAGAGTAGCAGTAAATGGTGACATAAGAATTAGTCAGACATGAATAGTGGTGCATATAAATATCAAGTTAAATAAATTAGTGCATTGCTTTTTGTGGAATCCAGTGTTTTAATCCACACCCAAAAGAACCCAGAAAAACGCTACATAAGTAATTGAATTTTTGCTTAAGAAGCTTTTTAAACTATTGTGATTTAAAATATGTTGCGTTGTCAGAAGCAAGATTATTTGGTAGACCAAAACGGGCAAAAATATCTCTTAAAATATTGATTGTAGTAGATGAAGAAGTGTTATTAGTTATACAAGCTTCAGGCCATTTGCTGTACGCATCAATTAACTCAAAAATATAGTATTTTTGAAAGAAAGGGCCCACATAATCTACGTGAATTCTAAACCAACGTTTCTGCGGATATTCCCAAGTCTGTAATGGAGCTTTTGGAGGAGAATCATAAACAATACTTACAACTTTCAATTAACCTCTCAATATCATTATTGTGGACCCACCATACATAAGAACGAGTCAAGCATTTAAACTTGACCATACCCAAATGGGTTGCATGAAGCGTTTTTAAAAATTTATTTCTTAGCGAATGTGGTAGGCGGACGTACACTCGCTCGACTCTAGGAATGTCCGAGTGGAGGGTGGGCTCGAGGGAACAACATCGAAGATAAAATTTGTTTTACGAACATCTGTGGGATTAACAGCAACATTGATGCTGTTCATCACTACCCGCAATCAAATCGTCCCGCCATGATTTTCTTGGCGGAGACACAAATCTCAGAGACTGCGCCGATTAACCATCTTAGCTTCCCAAATTACGAGGTGCACTCCAATCTGAGACAAAATAGGGAAGTTGTGGCTTTTGTCCGCAGCAGTCTTTCCTGCTCCAGAGATGTTGCTTTCCAGACCGGAAGGACATTCTGTGGCTTCGCCTCAACTCCTAACCATCACCCAAATTTATTTGCTGCCTTTATCGCTGTCCCTCGGACCATAACTGGGATAACCTACTTGAATACCTCGCCGTCAAGATCGACTTCCTGAACATCAATCACCCCGCTTCGGAGTAGTTCTTCCCGGTGATTTCAATGCCCATAATGAGCTTTGGTTGGGCTCAAACAAGACCGATGCAGCAGAACGTGCAGTCGAAGCGTTCACTCTACTCAAGGGCTGACCCAGCTGGTGACGAGCCCTACTTTTTTACCCCGCGTCTCGTCACATACCAGTAGCCTGCTGGATCTCTTTCTGACCACGCATCCTGTCCCTTACAGCACTGCTGTCCTATCCCCCTGGGTAACTCGGACCACGGTATGGTGGAGGTTAGGTTTCGGTTAGAACCCGCTGTGGCAGCAGAACCTCGTACAGGCCGCAAAACTTGGCATTACGGACATGCCGACTGGGAGGGGCTCAGAGACTTCTTCTCTACAGCACGATATAAAAGTTAGGCACATGGTAATGTCGCAGCGCAATGGCAGTCGGTGTTTCTGGACGCTGGCCAATCAGATTGAAAAGAACTTCTCACACAGTAGCCTTCCACCACTTACCTGTCAGGATGGAACGATCGTATCCGACTCAAAGGCCAAGGCGGAAGTGCTTGCCAAAATCTTTCCTGCCAACTCCACCATGGACGTTCTCCCCAACGCCCAAGTGCCGTCAATTCAAAGGGTTCCCTACACTATGCGGGAGGTAACATTCAGGCATAAGACGAGTTCTTTTATCGCTCGACACCAACAAAGCTTCTGGTCCGGACTTGATTCCTGCCATTGTACTGAAGAGGTGTGCAGCGGAGCTTGCTCCAGTTTTTTCGCGTCTCTACCAGATATCTTATGAATCTGGCACCTTCCCAGAAAACTGAAAATTTGCTCATGTCCAACCCATCCCAAAAAAAGTATCTAAGACCGACCCTTACAACTACAGGCCTATAGCTCTACTTGGAATGGAACACCTTTCTTTAATAAATTGTACACCGGTTGCATAAGAATAGAAGCATTTTTAATAAATTTATTATAAAAAT